AAAAGAGGAGGACCAAGTGGTACAGTTTCCTACCTCGGGAATTTTGATCCGCATTAGAAACATTGGCCAGCCATTCATCTGCTTTCTGAATTGCAAGGGAGCAGAGTTTCAGCACGTCACCAGCAATTGATAGTCTGCTGACTATTCCTCGTGCCATCTTTGCAGAAACGCCATTCACTGGGCCAACTTCTGTCTCTAGCTTAGACTTTGCTTCTTTCACAATTTCATGTAGTTCATTAAATTTTGAAGTCCCATGCAAGAGTCTGTAACTCAAGTATATCCTATAACAAAGTACATCAACACGGCGAGCATCCTTTGCCACAATGAGCTGCTTCTTCCAATTTCTGCTAGCATTAATCAAACGACAGCAGTAACATCAGCTCGAGGCTAGAAACCTATTAGGCAAATTACACATGCAATAACTCCTCCCTAAATTTTTTATTGATTTAGATTGTTGGTGGTGGTGGTTTGGTGCGGGGTGGTGTCAGGATTTTTCTTGTATTTCTTTCGCCCAAAGTGCTTGGCAAAGATCATTTGTACAGAATAGCAAACATAAGGAACAAACCTGAAAACAGATTATTAAATGGGATACAAAAATGTTTCTTGTTTAGGAACTCTCAAACTCAAAAACATAAATTTGGAGTTTTCAAATAAGCAAGACAATTACTTACCCCAGTATCCCCGAAACTTTGCCACAGGAAGCGCAACAATAACTACCATCTAGCTGCATCAATTGCCCGAGATCAACAACTCCCACCTTTGCACGTTGAAGGGCGCACTCGATGTGACAAGACAACCCACAGGAATCTCCGCCACCAGATTCAGATGTGCACACTAACCAAAGGCTAGGGTCCTTGTTGTCATCAAACAAATGACAGATACAGCAAGAGCACCTCCTACAAAATGCGTCATCTATGGATAGAACAGCTCTACAAGCAGAGTTTTTACAGATCCATGAGCTTGAAGATCCAAATTCTGGAGACTGATCAGAAGCTGGTGAGAGTCGCATAGGATTTTCCCCCTTTCTGCCTTGCTTTTTAGGAAGAATATTTGGACTAGAAGAAGCTTTCTTTGCATCCTGCTTCTTACTCGTCTTGTTAGTAGTCTTCAAAGGTTCAGTCATTTTATTTTTTGATGAATTCAAGTTTTTCTTGTCCTTTTCAATGCAAGTTCGAACGAGTTCCTTCTTGGGACCTGATTTCAGAAACTCTTGAAGAAGCTCTGGACTTCGTGAAGCATCATCTGAATGCCCATTCTTCTCGGGAGTGCTTTGCACGCTGGAAGAGAGGCTTTGAGCACCAGAAACTGGATTGTGGAAAAAAAAAATGACGAAAAAAAAATGAAATTTAGGCACATATATCAAAGCAACAACAAACTTCAAGTCTACAACTCAATAATAAGAGAGGGATAAGAGAAAAAGGAAAAACTGTGATAGAATGCACAAGCGATAGTAAAAGCTCTCAAGATCAAGTGGTGAAATTCTGTTTTATCCTTCTGATTTCCCTTCAGCGCATAAAAAAATTCATTTACAAAATAATCCTTTTTGTAGTAATTAGATTACATTCCAACATCTCAGTCGGTTTGTGCTTATTTCTGTTTATATAGCCAACAATATCCAAAACACAGCATCTCCTCTCTGACCTCATTCCTTAGCGCACCATCCTAATCTCTCAACTCAACAACCTATTAACAATCCCTCCATCGACGATAATGTAAGTCAAAATATCATCTCACATATTGTAGGAAATGAACATCTAGTCCCACTTCACAACAATAGCTCTAGCATTTGTCCAAGAAATCTGTCCTTCCCTGGGGACCCTTAAGCAAGAAATAAAAAATTCAGCTGGTAGGTTTTATAGGGTGTCAGATGTACATCACTACATCTACATCAGCAAAAACTTTATTTTTGAATAGAAAAAGTTCAATACTTCAAGATGCAATTCAACAGGTGCTTACACAAGAAAGAAAGACGAAACAAAATAACTTCAAAACAACCCAAGTGTCTGGCAATAGAAAGTCACACATCAAGTACCGAAGAGCGTGTTCAATACCGTTTGCTATATCCAACATATCACTAGGCTACAACGGACAGGATCCCAGTAACTCTTCCACGAAACTTCTCCCTCTTGTATTTTCTACTAAAGTTATGTAACCAATACTACCAAACATTCGTCGCGAAATCACCATGGATAAAAACTTCAGACTTTACGAAAGGAATGCACGCGAAAGACAAAGATCGTACCTTTACTAACAAATTTATCTTCTAATTCCATATTACGCAATAGTTATACCCGACCTCCCTGCAACGACTAATTGGTATAAAAACATGGACAGAACAATTGAAGGGGGCTACTAGTTCTTCAGTTTCCATAATGTAGCTAGTCGATTGAAACAACCCGAAAACCGCACCACACAACGCTTGCAGCTAAAACTAGAAGGAACAAAAATTAAAAAAAATTAAAAAAAAATTAATTAACTACTGAAAGAGAACTAAATGTGCTTTGCAAACAAGCTAGCTACCACCCATGCAAATACGAAATATACTTATTCATATAAATTGTAATATTTATGCAAAATTATAAAATATAAAATGCATATATTGAATTTATATAACAAGATAACCAAATAAATCTTTGGCATGCACATTGTGTGAATTTACCGCAATTAAATCAAAGCTTTTTATTTAAAAAAAGAAAAGGGAATACTTCGATTTAAATGGACAATAAAATAATAAAGATTCGAAATTTTTAAGCAAACGAAAAGTGGTTAACAAGAAAACGCAGAAAACGAAAGCAGACAAATGGATCTGCGCTCGGAAAGAGGTAAGAAATCGGAAAAATTCAAAGGAAAATACAAAAACGAAACCACGGCGGATTGAGAGACGGACCTGGCGGAGAATGGGAGCGGAACCCTAGGGTTTTTGGCGATTCCCGGCCGAAGAATTTACCTTCGCGGAGCAGAGAATCAGAGAGAGAGAGAGAGAAAGCGAGGAGAGAGAGAAAGACTCGGTTGTTAGTTGGTTTTGTGAGGGAAAGCAGCTTGTACGAGTTGTTCACGTTTTGGAGAAGGGGCGTTGAGGAGAAAAATCACGCGCAGAGGATTCGCGTCGGGAACGCTGCAGAGGGGTTGGCTCTGCCCCGCAGAAAAGGTACAAGGAGCACTTCCAGGCGATGTGATTGGTCGGTGCGGCATTATATGGTTTAAAGGCGCGTGAGAGTGCATTATCCATATTTACTTTTTTATTATTTTGGTCATCAGAGATTGCTGGAAAAAAAATATATATATATATATATTGTATTTACGTCCATGTCATTCATCAATAAAATTAAAAAATCCTTATCATTCAGTAGTTTACACTCCGGTAATTTGTTCCATGATGATTAGGGCTAGTAATTTTGGACAGGACAACTCGAAATTTGTACGAAGATAGACCACGAGTACATAACCACGAGATATTTATGTTGACGAAATACAGATATGTAGATAAAAGCGTACATACATTTTTATTTGATTAGTATATAATGTCATCGTAAATTTGTGACAGTATGCTAGTGTCATACAAGTCTTTCTCGTGAGTAGATAGATTTGGTGGGCGACTTGAGTAGTTGGAGATTACAGTCTTTATATTTTTTTGTCAGGGTGAGATGGGGAGGGTACAAAAATGGGGAAGAAAATGGACTCAGAAGTCCATCAGATGCTTCCATCTTTCTTTGTCTATCCTTTTTCGTTATTGTTCATGGCATGTTATAGTGTAACATGTACGTACCCATCTTTACAAGTTATGAAATTTAAGACCAAACAGTGAACTTTTTGTTGCTACCCATTGTTTGGTTTTTGAGAAAATTGTGGGAGGAGAAAAGGAAAGGGTCATTGAATTGTCAAATAAAGGTACCCAATGACAAATTGTTGTGTTGTATTCGTCAGTTACATGGAAATTCAAACAATATTTTGATCGAGATAAATTTCGATAAGACTGGTGTAGAGTAGTCATCACACAAATAGAATAAGTGACGAGTTAAATAAAAAAAAATAGAAAAGGCTCTCATGATTTTGTGAGAGTGTTTGATAAAGGACGGGTCACATTCCAAATTTTACCCAACTTGTAACGTTGTAGAAAGTACAATGTAAATTTTTCCGGTCGCATGCAGATTCTACCTACCATGACCAAGCGTAATTATTTGCAGTAGGACCAAAATTGAATGGCCGGCCAGAAGTCATGTCTTGCGGCCTTTGGAATGATGATTCCAAAAACAATTAGATGCTTTGCTTGTGCTGCTGGGAACAGCTGCAAAGTGATTTGAGAGCATACATAACGCAAGTAATCACAGGCATTCTCAGAAAACAAGGACGATTGCCTTTATTAAGTGAAGAGTATGGATGGCATTTACGCATATTAAACCTCACCCAAAGCAGACAGCTATTTAAGGATTTCACCCACCAAAACTTTGATAAAGTTACTTGTAATTTTCCCCAACTCACTTTACATGTAACAAGTAAATCGCAACTCTAGCGTTCTTGGTCAATCATACAAAATGGCCATTTAAAAATCATGTTTCTTACTTAAAAACAGTAAAATTTTAACAACTTAAGGTGACTTCTAATTTGATTGATTTTTCACATAATTAATCTTTAAAGCGTTATCCTTAAAGTAAAATGTTCATATCATCAAACAACATTACAGGATGAGTAAGAGAAGCCGAGAAGGTAAAATTAGAAGGTTCAAGAGAAGGTTACAATGCTTTGCAAGTTTCTCCCCATGTGACATTGCAGTATTCAGATGTCACGATACCAATGTCTATTCAGTACACTTAAGTCTCCATCGTTGGAATGACATGAAAATATTCTTACTTGTGACCCCCAAGTGCAATCACAGCAGTTAAATCATTTTCAAGGTGGATGATTAGATTATGTGCAAGCACTAAGAATCTTATTAAAATACTAATCATGCTTATTCCTCAAAGCCATAAGGCAATAAACAAATAATTAGACAGTCAAACCAATGTTAAAGGTAAATGTATTAATATTTCTAACCATCTTACAATTCTTAATCAAACGGAAAGAAAGTAACAACACTGCAGGCCGTGGCATATAATACTTGTATACAAGACAGAAGGATCACTTATTGCTCTTTTCATTGTTCGGTTCAAACAAATGTCTTAATACCTAATTTGATTTGCTTAAGTAGCATCGGTCTTCGAGTCGGCAACCGGGCGTCGTCGCATATGAGAGGCATCGCAACTAGAGACCCTGCAAAGTGGGAATAACGAACAAAAAGAAAGTTTGACATCAATTTACCAACAACAAATGTGAAACTGTTAAAAGTGCGGTATTTGCAAATTTCTGAGGTCAACTACTTTAAAGATTTGATCCAAGATATTGGTGATTAACTGCTCAATAGGTAAAAAGCAAAGAATCAAAAGGATACCTAAAATCTCTGTCATCACAAAGATGGCTTTCAGGAAAAGCAAACTAAACAGATCTGATGCATGTATTCCATATATGCACCAATCAAAAGGTCTTCAAGAATTAGCATCTTAGCTGGACACGGACTTGCATTCACGAGGCCAAACCAAACAAAGCCAAGATTCTAAAGTTCAAATGTTCTCCAATAACAATTAGTCTAGCATGCCTAGATGCAAATTCGCAGTTCGCAATCAGCTCCATACCAACAAGAATCTTGGGCCTACAGCTATGACAATGTGCACACAACCCTTCAAAGGTTTTGTCTAAAGGACTTGGTCGGCACTGAAAGTGTAACCAACCAGAGCACCAACAAGTAACAACCTTGGCATTCATGTTTGCATAACGAAAATGATATATCTTGTGAGCCATTGTTGTTGCTAATGTATTTTCATTAAAAGGTAATCTGATTCCCCAGTAATCTAGTATGCAGCCACATAATTTTCTACATTCATTGTCGTTGTTGGAAATGAAATCCACAAGCATCCTTGACTGTAAGGTCCATAAGGCTTAAACCAACGTATATTTCCATTTACCATATATGCCATCCCATGGCATTTTCCAAAAATACCAAAAAGTAATGGCCAGATAAACCCAAATGACAAATACTGAGGGCTAATGACTTGATATCAAATTATTTCCACGGCACACTAAGAAACTCATACAATATAGTGCTTGAATTCTAAAAATCCCACAAATGGAATTATCTCCCATGCATAATTGGCATAAATTTCAGTATTCAGATACAAGACCGATAACAAATGATTTGATTCTTTTACAATTCCAAACCATCAAAACTAAATAACGGCCCAGCTCATATTCAGAACTGCTCTCCTAAGGTCCTCATTTTGAGGACGTGTGAGGCCCTTTTTCATATGAGCCCTCAGATTAATCTTATGGTACACTACAACTTAAAACTATTAACAATCGAGCAATGTTGCGAATTAGCTCTAGAATTTGAGAATTTTGGGTCACTTCAATGCAAAGTGTTGGGACATTCTTAAAGATTCAGTGGTTAAACACGCCAACACGTTGTCACGAAAGAGATGCATTTAACAAGTATTCCCCTTTCAGAATTCTTAGAAACAATCCAGTTTCGGGATTGGTTCGGCAACTATTCAAGCTAAAGAGAACATCACATTCACTATGGGTCCGTAAATATTAGCATAAATTCGATTCCTTTAGTTTAAAGAGATTAAAGCAGAACTCAAAATTCATGGGCAAGTCATCAAAATCTGAACAAATTGCTTTCAATTCAACAACCACAAATTCAAAAAGCATTCCACCTGATAGCTACATACCCTAATCGCAATCCATGCATATACAAATCACAAATTCAAAACCCTAGCTCCCAAATTAACCAGTTATAAATCTGAAAGAAAATTGAATTAATTTAAATTAAAACCTGCTAAGAAGAGGAATGCCGGCCCTCGCAAGCAGGGCTCTCGTCGAAGTTCTTAGAGGGGTACTTGGCGGAGACCATGCCGACCTCGAACACCAAGTTGTCGCCGCTGGACCGGATTCCGGTGATCGACCACCACTGGAAGAAGGCCCGGACGCTGATGCCGTTGATCTCGGCGATTTTTCCCTCGACGATCTTTCCTGTGATTTTCTTCGAGTAGGTAGCCAGGTAATTGTCGGGTGGGAGGGTTACCTTGCACGCGCCGCCGAGGTCAACGATGAAGTCGCCGGTGGTGCGGTTGATGGTGTAGTTCTTGACGGCGGTGGGGAGGAGACCGATTGGGAAGCCGTAGTTGGTGAGCTCGGTGTGAGCCAGAGATGGGCTTGAAATTGAGTTCCGGTTCGGGGTGTTCGGGTCAGTGGTTTGGGAGGTGAGGGGGAGGAGGAGGAGGAGAGAGAAGCAGACGAAGAGAGATTTCGCCATTGCGGTTTTTCAATTTTTTCCTTTTTCTTTTTTTTTTCTTTCTGGTTTTTAGGTTAATAATTTTGTAGATATTTTTCAGAAGTGAGAAGAAAGAGCTGCGAATATTCGCTCTCTATTAATCTGTTGGCGATGATACCGAGACTTTGCAATTTTTAACGACTTGACATGAAATGATACAATGATAATAAATTTTGAGTTAAAATATGTTAACAGATTCTTAACATGTCTATCTGTAAGTAATCCATTACAACCCGTTAACCTAAACGATAGTTACATAGTCCTTTATAGTGCGTTTACTAATCCGTAATCAAATTGATGAGGAATTGAAATGAGATGAAATCAGAATCAGATTCTTGTTGAAGTTGTTTACAAAAACTGTCCGGAATCGAAATATAATTCTATAAAGCTGTTTACTAATTCAGCATAATCTGAATATAAACCAGTATGATTACTAAAATGTCCTTCTCTCAAATCAAATATTTTTAATCACATTTTCATTAGTTATTTTTAATCACATTTTCATTACTAAAATGCCCTTTAGTTCTTTATATTTATTTTTATTTCATCTATATTTATTTTTAATCACATTTTCATTAGTTATTTTAAAATGCCCTCATTCACTTCACTTCCTCCGCACCGCCATACCCCAATCCTCCAACACCACTCTCCCATATCATCTTCCCAGTTCCCATCCCGCAAAAGAAAATACTATTTTAAGAGCCTAGCCAAATTCATCTTCCCAGTTCCTACCCTGCAAAAAATATTCCGGAAAGTAATGGGAGCCAAGGATCAAACGAGCATCAACATCGCCAACAGCATGAGCAATTTGGCCTCGAACTTCGAGGTCCCGATTGTCAAACCAACGTCACACGAGGATGAGCCGGCTGTGTCAACGGTGTCGAAGCATCTGCGAAGCCTCTTGATAAGAGTGCATAATAGGAAAGAAGAAATGCATTCTCGATTCCTTCACCATCCTAGAATCCAAATACCTCACCCATGGAGGGAGTCCAATTCCTCCAATTTCAGGAATTGAATTCTATTTTTCATGTGGGTCTCATACACTGTTGACTCCTCTAAATTGTAGTAAGCACAAGAGTTATCCGTAATCGAAATCGGATTCCTTATTTTCATTCCGATTACGGGTGCGTAAACACGTCCTTAGATTTGTAGGATTTAGGGTTTACGATTAAGATATGTAGATGCTAATTTAATGACGTAGATATATACTAAGTTAATATGATATTGTTTATTCAATTATTTATTGAATTAAAATATATTTTTTAAATGAAATTGATACGGCAAACACAGTACCATATTGAGGGCCACTGCACTGAAATCCCACTCGTTGCGCTGCCTTTTTAATTAAAATTGGGCCGAATTCCGTTTCAAATATAAGCATAAGTTCATCTTCAACCGAAGGGTCTAAAAAGGCAGATGATCGAAAATAATTCGAAAATCATCTCCAACTGAGGGTTAGGCCAGAGGGCTCGTGGAATCTAAGAGGGCCCTAAGGAATCTGAAAGGGCCAAAGGGCTGGCCAGAAAAAAACACCAATTATGTCGATTATAACTGACATGAATGCTTAAACTAAAATTTGAATCCAACGGCTAGTTGGCGCTAGTTACCGTTGGATTCAAATATATATATATATATATATATATTAGATTTTTTGGGCCTTTTTTTTTTAATTCTTAAAAATTCTAATTTTTTTCCCTATAAATACGTAAATCATTCATTCACCATTCCTTTAAATTTAATTTGTAGTTTTTAAATTTAATTCGTCGTTTTTAAATATAAGTTGTTGTTGGATTTGAATTTAAGTGTTGTAGTTTTCAAATTTAAATAATAAATTATGTTCGGCCCTTTGGCCCTCGGTTGGAAACGATTTTTTGTGACAAGGTTAAAACGAGCTCTATGGCCCTTTGGCCCTTGGTTGGAGACGGAGGCAAATATGACCATATATTGTTCATTAAAATATTAATATCTTTAAGGGCCAGAGGGCTAAAACAAACCCTCTGGCTAGCCCTCGGTTGGAGATGGCCTAATAGGCCTAAGCGGGGGCCAAGTCCAATCCTAGAATCATATTATATGATTTTTGTCCACGGCATTTTTTTTATTATTTATGTGTGAACGTTGTGATTTAACCAAAAGTCAATTAGTTAAATTTGGGCAAGTGACCATTTATTATACTAGCAGAGTTTTTGCATAACGGTATATGTTTGAATCCTATTATTAGCTAATCTAACATCTATCTAACAAAATCTATCGTTTGATAAAAAAAAAAAATTAGTTAAATTTGGACCGCTCACTGTTGCAAAAGAAATGTGTGAAAAAATAATTTCTGCCAATTAGACTTTCCTTCTTCTTCTCTCTTTCTCGATCCTCAGTCTCCGTTACTCGAAAAGAAATGTGCGGGAAAAGATATGTGATAATGTTAGAGGAAGAAATAAGGAAGTGTTATTAATGTTAAAAGAAAATCATATTCTCTGATGAAGATAAAAAATCGAATTTATGAAGATAAAAAATCGAATTTATGAAGACAAAAAATCGAATTTACTCCTTATATTCATATACATAAAAAATTGAATCTTTTTCGTAATTTTGATAAATTTAATTTAGACTAATCCCTTTGTAAATTTACTCCTCATATCCATATCATTGAATTTATTTTAATATGAGTCTAATATTGATCCTTTAAATAATTTAGTTTCGTACTCAAAGGAAATCATAATCATAAATAATAGCAACACACATTGACAAATTTAGAAAAGTTGACCATCTCTTATTTAATGGTGACACGAATCCCTTGTAAAAGGGGAAAATTTCGGTAGGGTAGAGGCCCCACCTCTGGCTCCACTCTCACTCAGTACTCCTTGTTTTTTTGGTTAATTCGACCTCACTCTTGATAACTTGACAAGTTCTTATTAGACAACTCTACAAGTTTGACTACATGCCGCGCTTACTGAATATACATTAATTCAAGATATAGCACAACCATTCTCGTTAATATGGTTACCATCATGTGTGCGTTTCACTTTGTGGTCAGGTGGCTTCTCTCTTGACAATGTGATAACTTTTTATTAGACGACCTTAAATGTCCGGCCATGTAACGCTCCTACTAAATGCTCATTAATTCAAAACACCAAATTTCTAATTTGTTGTAGTCAATATGGTTACAATTGTCAAGAACATTTGACATTTACAACTGTGAAGAGATCTTATTTGGGCCTCAAATCTAAATGCCCCAAACCTGCTAAGAATAGGAGTGGTGTTAGGCACCTGGGAACATATTAGTCAATTGTTAGGCTGCTCATTAATTTAAATAATAATGGTCCTTAATATGTTTTCGTTTTGTATTTGGTTTTGACTGGGCCCTGTGAGTTGCCACTGAGAATATGGTTTAAATACCTCCTCTCATTGTTCATTACGGTTTTCTGCTCTCATTGAATTTGCCTCTTTTCATAACCAGCGCGACACGATACAAAATTCAAATCATGTATATTTTTCTTGTAAATTGAGCTTGTCGTTTGATTTTTTTTTTTTTTCCTTAAAAGAGATCAGCTGGTGGCCTCGCCAAGCTAGTTCACCATTTCGAGGGCCGGAAAGATTCACAAAGGTATTTCAGCCTCCCTTGGCCGCCATCGTGCGATTCACTAGCTCTAGGAATCGAATTCTGAACGTGCCATGTGATAATTGTGTTGAACAATTAGTTCATTATTATTATAAGTTTTCTTGTGAGCCAAGGATTAGAACGAGGCGGAATCAAGGGTTACTTTGGAAGGAGACGAATAGAAAATATGGTCATTCTTGAGAAAAAGAAAATAAGGAATGCCGTAATGCAAGAAATGCAATCCTTACAAGTGAAAGGGAACTACTAAACCGTAGTGGTAATTACCAAGGAGAGTAAAGAGTTACAATTTTAAAATTTTGTCAGGTGAGAAGAGATTGTTGGGTGGCTTGCGATAAAAGTTGGGTGTGATTAGAAGCTCCATTTCTTTCAGAATTTGTAGGTGTTGAACACAATATATTTCGTAGCCCAACCATGGCTCGGTGGTATTTCAAACCTTCCAGCATTGAGTTTAGATTGGTGCATAAATCTTAAATAAGGATTAATCTAGTCGGAACAAATTTATTAAGGAAAATATGCATCATTGGGATCCTCTTATGTATCATTTGGATGAACCATTGGCACCACTACTGCATCATCATGATCTTCTCGGCCTTGCCAGTTTATCTAGCTGCTTCGAGACGACGCGCATGCACCAGTTCACTGCTAAAAGAATCGAAATCAAATTCTAACAATCGAATATTGAAAAATGATCATTTCAACAATTGGGATTTGTAAACTCGTCATGTCGTCCAAATTCCCTAGTTTCTACTCCTTTTCTACTAACCTGAGAGCGATAGTTACCTTGCAAGTCCGCGTAACAAATACACTGTGTTTGATGATGTTATTGCTGAAGCGAAAATTAAATAATACAAGCAAAATCCTCTTCTCTATCAATCCATTTAAACCAGTTTCTCTATGTCATTCACTACTTGCTCCGCTTCATTTCTTGAAAATCCTTTCCTCCAACCGAATCCCATGTCACATTCACCACCCTTCTACACATTATGTTTCTCTCCAACACTGCATACATCATAGACTATCAACAAGAACCCTCTCACCAGCATGCTTGCTGTAATTTCTCAGATTCTCAATCCCACCGGCTCAACTTCGTACAACTCAATGGAAAATACAAACATCTGATTCCTAGGAAGTTAATATGGTTGTGCTGGCATGCATGCCCTTTAAAGTTCCTACCAGATGTCTTTTTTTTGAACCAGAAAATACTAGTTGCTATAGATACGCAGTCAAGCAATCTGGTACAAGTTTGCGAGGGTTCCAAGTTAGAACAACCCATGATGTTCTGCTTCTAATATTATTTTTGGCTTTCTTTTTATTTTTGCTTTTTATGAGTTCTTCCCTTTGGATATTAATTTCCATTTTCTTTCGGTTTGTGTAATAGTACCTTCAGAAGTTGAAAATCATTGATCTCAGTTTTCATTTTTTCTAAAAAAAAAAATCACCAGACCTTTCACAACTCCCAAATCTTGAAGAATTGACATTGGAAAACTGTGAGAGTTTGTCCAAAATTCAATGGAACTTGCTTACTTCTCTTCCAAGGGATTTCTACAAGTCGAAATATGTTGAGACTCTTATACTTTCTCGTGTATGCAACGTTGAGAGAGATATAATGTGCAGAGGAGTGGTGAACGATAAAGCATAATTTGAAGTCTATTAAGGAGGTAAACTGGATCAGATTAATACTTAATATCATACATATATGTACATAGAAACAGTGCTCAGATTAATGCCAGGCATCTTTGAGGGTACCATTGATTTTCTAACCTTAAATTTTAGTTCCTGGAATATGTGGTGAAAGCACTGCAAGTATTTATGCGAATTCGTGTAGCATTTCTCAAATATTCTGGTGAATGTCTTGTATCGATTGATGTTGAAATGTTTCTAGAAACTACTTGCTAAAAAAAGTATGAAACATCGACTTGTCATTACTATCGAACTGTGAAAGCGAAAAACAAAAGAGGCCGATGACGAAGCTGACGGTGATGCGTAATCCGCGGATTCAGATATGTGATGATGAGCTTGATGATGAGGATCCATCCCTTGGTCATACCTCAACATAGAACCGAGCAGGATGTGGATCAAAAACATAACCAGCGTGGTCCAAATCATGCATATTTTCCTTCATAGGTTTGTTCCATATTAAATTAATAGGAAACTTATTTTAATCCTTGGCAAAGATGACTTTTAGACTAAAACAATAAGTAAGAACAAAAATCTAATTTTAGTCTCTTGATACGTTAATCATCTCATTTATTACTTATATTTTTTATGTTTTAATTATTTCTCTTTTTCTTCCTAATTTTAATGTATTAATTTTATTTCATTGTAATTATAATTTTCATTTAATTCATCGTAATATATTTTGTTGTAAACATTTAGATAAACAAATTTTTATTTTACAATATATTTCGATATACTTTGTCTTCTTCATTTAGGTACATTAAATTCATTATAATACATTTCGGTGCATACATTTAGGTATACACATTTCAATACATAAATTTCAATACAAACATTTAGCTACATTATAATACATTTCAGTACATTAGTTTAATATAATACATTTGGGTACATATATTTCGATACACACATTAGGTACATTAGTTTAATATAATACATTTCGGTGCATACATTTGGGTACATACATATCGGTACTAACATTTAAATACATTAATTCAATATAATATATTTCGGTACATACATTTTGGTACTAACATTTAGGTACATTAATTGAGTTTTTCAAGTTTGAAGAATGTTAAATAAAATTAATAAATTAAAAAAAACTTTGGTTTGGTCAAAATATATATTAAAATGTGTATATTAATAAATTTAAATATTTAAAGGGAGACATTGAAAAAAATACACATTAATTATTTTGAATTAAGGATATATTAAAGGACTATACTCAATATGTAATCTAACACCAGATTTATTTTAAATTTCAATCTTCTTCAATGATTAAAGTTAGAAAATCCCTTAAATTAACTCATATTCTCTTCATTCTCATTGTCACGGGACAATTTATGTCTTGTGACACTTCAACAATTACATCAACTTTATTCCTACTTTGCAAATTGAGCTTATCATTCGATAGTTGTCCCTTCCAAATGTAATGGGCATCATATGATTCATATCTGTGAAATGATTTATTATCCTAACGTCTTATGCCTACGCAAGCCCATAACCCAGGGCTGGTTTGGTATTGCTGTGCTTTGAAAAAAAACTGTTTCTGTTGTGGTGTGAAAATAAGCAGCTGTGAAATAAAACAGCAGAGTGTTTGGTAAACTTTTTTGTAAAAGTGCTTTTAAAAAAAAAAAAAAAAAAAAAAGAAGTATTATAGTGTTTGGTAAACTTTTATGTAAAACAGGTGTGAAAAAAGCCTGTTTTTCAAAGCTGGGTTTTGCAGCTTCTTGTTTTTGGCTTTTTTTCACCCAAAACTGTGAAAAAAAGTTGAAGCTGAATGTTTACCAAACACAAAAACAGCTCCTAGCTTTTTTTTATACCAGTTTTTTTTAGAATCACCTCAATATCAAACCAAACCTCAGTATGCTTGGGATTATTTATAACAATAATGGCAAGGGGACAATGATGATAAAATATATCTGTTAAGCAGTAAAAGTAGAATAGAGTCAGCCCATCAAAATTACGACCATCACTTGAAGCAATATCAAAACCGACTTTATTGCCCTCATTGAAAAACTCAAACCAATTAGAATAAATATATAGAATAATTCCCTTGGAGGAAAATGCCACCATACCCGCAAGAAATCCATCCCTATATATACATTGCAAGTGTCATATATATATGTACAGGTGCGTTTGTATGTGTGCGTGCACGATAGAAAAGACGACATGGGAAGAGAGAGAGACCTGTAGGATGTTCCATATCAATCTTACTATAGAAGCTGGTACATGTCTTATGGCTTATCCATGACTATGTTCAATTTCTGAAACGACTATTACACAAAACCAGAATTGACTTTTTAGAGTAAAATACTGTTTTTCATTAAAATGAACAGTACCGGAATATTTTCGTTAAAGTTCCCTAAACATAAACTATCAAAAACTTCAAAATTTAACACATTAGGCATGGATAAATGTATATATATCATAAAATGCCTTGCAGAAGACTCAATCCCGAGTATTGTAGGAATATTCATAAGCATGAAACATACTTAAGGTCCCCTGAATTTAATGCAATTAGATTTTGGCAACAACTTTGAAAGAATTATGAATTTATATTAATTTATGTACCATTTTTTTTGTATTACATTTGTATGTTATCTAATGTGGTAATAATATATAAATATCACGTCAATTAATGAATTTATTTCATTAAATGTTAATTGTATTCATTACTTGTCACATAAGATGATACATCTATTTAGTATAAATATGTAGTCGCTCTAGCATTACTTATCCTTTCAATAGCAAGGGCCATAGAGGAAAACGACATCCTTTTTGCCTTTTGTTATATCAGGTAAGGATGGGGTTAGAATTAATTGGGCTTTTGTACTGAGACCTCAAAGAGCTTTTTCCTTTGGGTTACTTTGAGTAAAGGCCCAACATCGAAAACTGAAAACCAATTCACAATAGGTAGAGAGGCCCAAATTTATATAATTAGTCAATTCAAATGACGTGAGAGCATATGCGGTATTTTGACATGTAATATCATGTTAATTCAAAATTAATTGATAATAAATAACGAGACCAATATCTTCTAAATAAATAATACAACACTTTCATTTTCGACATCAGATAACAGTCTCAAACCCAAGTTAATTTGACACAGATAATATACAGGATGGTTCGACAAGAGATTGCTGCATATATAGGGCACATACACCGAACTTAAAAATGTGTATCATAGTGTACATTATGACAATGGACACACACACATATATATAGTTTATCATCTCAGCATGGGGAGTTCCAAATCTCTGCATTTTTAACCTTGGAAATGCTCTCTAGCACTTCGAAGGGAAGAACGTCTCCAATCACAACCACCATCTTGCTCTCCAAGTCTACTTTGTACGACGTCACGCCTGTTTTATTCGTGACGCAAAAACAATTACAGAATCATTGTGAGGTTTGACAAAAACAAATCATCGTGAGGAAGATGATAATTATTTATTTTTATTTTTTTAAATACAAACATGCAAGATCTTGTAAGAAAATACAAAAATTCACACACCGGCCCAGAAAAAAAATACATGTGTTTATATGTGTGTATCAAATTATGATTTGTCTTGAATTCGTATTTAAAAGTTTGACATACCTTCTATCTTTGAGATATGTTTCTCAACTTTTTTGGCACAGCCATGGCAGTGCATGGAAACCCTTAGCACTACCATCTGCATAAGGTTTTTCGCCAACAGAAAATCAATCATTCATCTTCGAACAAACATTGAATCTACTGAGAGTTATCCAATCCATTCTAATCTTAGCCGCCAAACGAGGCCAACAGAGAGAAATGAAACGAGAGAATAATACCTTGGGCTTCAACTGAAAGGCCAACGTCTGTTTTCCGGCGACAACATCCTTCAGTTTTAGAAACTGATCCTTTTCGCCGGTTACCAACGGACTGCTTTCGAACTCGTCAAGATTTTCCGACCAGTTCATACAGAAACAAGAACCAGAGCCAGTTGAAGAAATACAAAACCTGTCCAGCACCCTTCCCATACTTAGTTTCCCCATTGCAACAACCAGAACAAACTTCTTAGCCAAACGGACACAAATCTAAAGCCAAACAAAATTTCCAAGCACAAGAAATCTCTACAGCCGATCTGTCCCTCCCAGTCCAGTTAACTAACCAAACTGCCTCAGTGTTGTAAGCCAGTGCAGACTAGTGTGAACATTATAATAGTGTGGGAGTGAGAGAGGGGGAGAGAGAGAGAGGAAGAGAGGGGGAGAGATAGAGGGAGAGAGAGTGAGAAGCGCTAAAGGTCAAATATTCATTGGGGAATGCAAAAGTTGAGCAGACCCAATGAAGCCATGAAGGAGGAAAGGGAACAAGACTCCAGTAGTTTATAATTTATAAAACTCAGCTGGTCAAAAAAATGTAGAAGGGGATCCGAAAACCCAGAAAGAAAAAAAAAAAAAGCAGTAACTTTTTAAACTGTAAACCAATTCTTAGACCAAAGAACAACACCCCAACTAGATTTTGTCATGTGATCACGACTCCTAAATTCTTCAAAATACAACTGATGCATGAGAAAGTTCAAAAGTTAATTTGAGATGAAGCTGCAAGTGATTCCTCTCTCTCTCTCTCGCATGTGACAATCCTTCAAAAGATAGAAACCTAATATGCAATAAAAGCTGGTGAGGATGTGCCTAATATTTCATATGATCGAGAGGTGGAGAGAGGGAAGCTCCAAAAGAAAAGCTTTACAGTGACCAATGGAGGAAGTAGCAACATACCACGCTTTATGACATGTGATGACTATAGGCACACGTCCAAGTTAGAGGCAGAGAATATGTTTATATATAATACATAGTTGAATTAATTTGGAGAGGCATCACGGGAATTGAGCTCTGCACACTATTTTTCACCTTCTGCAGACCGCTTTAATTTCGATTTTTCACTCTGCTTTGATTTGTTCAATTCAATTGGTTAGAGAAGTAAAATGAGTGTGCATAATGTTGAGAATGAGTCCCACATGGGCTTATAAAAGGTTGGGCAACTCTCTATATTGCCAATTGATTTTATGGTTGAATCTCAACTTCTTCACATAAATTATTTCCCAACACCTTTGCTAGGCATGTTTGAACACGAAAAACGTTTAGGTGGAAAAGCTTAATCGAAGAAAAAACAGTTATATTTGAGGAGCACCAGAACGAATTATCGAACAAATTTGCAACTAACTAATGTATATTGCATCTAAATAAGTGTATGTTGATCATTTAACAAAATATTAAGATAAAGTAGAGTGTGATTGACCACCTAATCCGCATGGATTGATGAACCCTTCAAGTAACCCGAAAGTGTTTGTGACGATGGATAATATAATTTAAAAAAAAAACACTACAAGAATGGAGATATGTTGACAGTTTTGTCATGGCCTTGAATATCAAATGAAAAATGGGACAGACGGCCATCCATTATTGGAGCCCCATGAGCTCACATTAATAATTATACGAATAGAATAATTTCATTAAAAAAGAAAAAAAAAAAAAAAGAGAATGGTTTCTATTCTATTCTTCACAGGTTGGTCCATGTGAAATGGTTTTTTAAAACGGACCAAATGAAACCAAATTTGAAAAAGATGGAAGTGAAGACATGTTAGGCACGTGAGGGGCACATGATTGTTGCTAAATGCAAACAGTAAAAATGTGGTGATATGTCGCATTATGGATCACTAGAGGGGAGCAGCACCACTCCTATGGCCTGGTTTTGTTGGGTGGCCAACTGGAGTGCACCTTTTGGTCATGGAGTTGGTCATGGAGTGATGGAGCGCACTGCAAATGATATGACAAGACATATATACACACGAAGCTTCATTTTCTGCTGATGGACTTGGAAATCAACGTGGCCATGACAGCAATGATGTGGGATTTATAAGGTTGTCCCACTAACATGCCAAGTTCTAGCATAATGGACGTAGGTCTGCGCTGCGGCACCTCTCACACAAAAATAAGTCCGGATGAAATCCACGCGTAAGTAAGTTTATTTTGTTACGTAAGAGGTGTCGCATTGAGACGTTATATACTAGAATTCTTCTGCTAGTACATCCACATCAATAGCAAACCACACCTACTAGAGCTCGATGTATAGTAGATACACATGTTTGTAAGTATTTCAAATATGTGCATTGTGCAATGCATGGAACCTAGATTTTTGAAGGTGTTGCTTTAAGTAGGTTATCAACACTAAAGAAACCAATAACCAATAACAACCACATGAAGTGAAAGACATTACCTTTAATTGAAATCTAATGTGCAGAAAAAAACTCACCTTACATTCTTTTTATTAATTTATCTCATCACATGACATGTCAATCTAAGTCCGAAACGTTCGGAAATCTCAATTCAAATAGCTTATATTGTTGTTTCACTACCTTTTCTTTGAAAAGACAAAAAATAGCAATTTGGAGATATCCAAGGTTATATACATTCATCGTTCCCGAACGCAGCATACAACCCTCCGTTGTACTGCATCTGCTTCTGGAAGAAATTGAAGAATTTCTTGGGAATCTATATTCCACATGTTTGAATATTACAATTCATTAATTAGCAAATGGTAATAGCAATAAGTGAATTCCATACCTGGCAAATGGAAGTGCAGATCTGACTCTACTGACTCTATATAAAAGAGGTTAGTATTTAAACGGCATTGTTTAGAGATAATATAAAACAATATTAGCTAATGCAAAGCATCCAATTTTCACATGGTATGACATGAATGGCTGGCTATAATATTTGTATATAATTTAGGTTTAATTAATCAAAAGCACAAGGGTTTAATTAAATACAAGCCTCAGCCTAGTTGCTGTGGACATGCATGCTGATCATAATATAAAACAAAAGCGCATTCTTCCTCTGGGACCAATTCATGGAATCATATATATAGTGCAAGCAATAGTAGTAGGCTATCTATATATATATATATATGATATACAATGAAATCGTCCACTTTTCGTTTGACGTAAGTCACACAACAACCAAATCCCATGTGCCCAAGTTATGGTCAAAAAAAGGTCGGTGATTTTTATGATAATACACATCATTTGCGTACAGATATCAAACTCTCATATCTTGCAATTATTCTACAAGATTTGTCCGACATTAAAGAAAATAAGATATATAATATAGTGGAGATCCATTATAACTAGCAATAGTAGGGGAGGAGAAACTTGAAAGTTGAAACTAGCAATACTAGGGAAGGATAAATTCAAACGCATTACTAAATTCAAACGCATTACCTCGGCTTGAACACGATAAAGGCAATTAATCACTTGAACTACAACTCCATTTCTTTTATGTGTGTGTGTGTGTGTGATGCATTAGATATACTAGGAGTGGTTAAACTGCCCAGTGTGCCAGGGCGGTGAATTGGCAAGCCAATGCAGCAATGCGGGGCACCATTCACGTCCAGAGTAAAAGGAATATTAGACAGTAGATTCTACAACGACATCAAATTAATAAACTAATTATATCACATGATTAGTCATTAGGCTTTTCGTCCTCCGTTTCTTTCGTTTCTTGTCCGCACAAAACCATAATCTCAGTCGACAGTTGCACGACAAATTAAATATTGAGTACGTACCTGATCTGCCTCTCGAGCTCCGACTCTCCGCATCGATCATCGTCACGTCTCACACGAATCGCAACGCTGCGTTCTGCGGATCGCTCTTGTGCTTTGCTTCTTCTACTTTTTTTCTTCTTCCCTACTCCCACTGCATAAGAATTGACGTGGGCTCCCAATTGGAAGCTGCAGTTGATAAATAAAGGGTGAAAACTCGAGCCCATATCAAAAAATAAGGAACGCCAAACCCAAATATTGAATGGGCCGATAACCTGGCCCATTGAGATCAAGCAACCGTTTTTCAAGATTTTACTAGAATTCTAAAATTTAATATTTTACTGACAAAACAACTAACTTCATTTTAAAATTGAGAAAAAAAAAAAGAAAAAAAAAACTAGATTTGAAGTTATACAATTTAGCGATACATGTATCGTAGGTGTACTTTGGACTACATAAGCAAGAAGGTACAAATCACGTAATTGTTTTCGTTTTTCACGCAATATGTATTATATATTTCACAATGGCATACAAAACGATGCAGTTATTTTGGTTTTAATTTGTAAGCACCTTATTTTACTCACTCTCTCAATCGTTATAAGGTTGATCGTAGATGTTGATTTTTTTACATAACACGTAATAACATTGTAAATGAGTAACCACTTTAGTCTTATAGAAAAGTAGAAAACTAAAACAAAAATTATTTTCTTTACTTAAGCTTAACAAATTTATAATATAATAATATTATAAAAAATAAAAAAACATAGACTTAGGTCACATGTTTCAAAAATACTTTTGATTAATAAAGATACAAAAGCCGGCATATTTGATTATTCAATTAAACTTGTTCGAATGATTGTGATGTGAGGCCAAAGACACGAATATGTTGGATTCATCTTATCCATTTTGCAACTATAATCTCAATTCTCAACCAAATAATGACTTTGTACAAGGTCATTGCCCTCTCACAATTCTCTTGTTATAGAGGGTGCAAATTGCGGATATCGTATATAGTTTTAATAGTTGAAGTTTTTCTATTAAACTCACTATGTCTTAAGCAGTGTTCTAAAAAACGCTATAGGCGGCTGCCTAGGCGCTAGGCACCTTGGAACCGAGGCAATTTTGTGCAAAACGATTGGAAAAATTGAGGTGACTCTAGGCGGTGCTAGGCGGCGCTAGGCGGCTGGGTGGTTTTTTTTTTTTTTTTATTGTGAAATTTATTTAAAGTCTAAGTTCTAATTATACCTTGAAATTTTGTTAATTTTATAGAATAGGTGTGTTGTGTATCAACTTAAATTCCGGGATGCTAAAGATAAGTATCTTACGTTACTAAATTTCCTTATTTTCCTCTTATTTTCCATTTTATGTTGTTTTAATTTGTGAACTTGTTGTACATGTGTTATCCTACAATACTCCTCACTATGGTTATATGACATATATGCTTAATGTGTTTTTAAATTTTGGATTTGTTGGATACTCTTTTTGCATTTTATCATTCTTTTATTATTTTATTCATGAATTTCATATAAGTATATTTTTTTGTAAGTGTCAATATGCACTTATTTACAAGATATACAATAAATTTACCTAAATCTGCCTAGGGGCCAGCCTAGGCACTAGGCGCTAGCCCGCCGTCCAACTAATGCCTAGCGTTTTTTAGATCCTTGGTCTTGGGTTTAAACTTTTCACCATTTTCTTAGTGTATTTTTGTTTTTTTAATAAATGAGATTATCTATACTGAGGGGGTGAATGAGTGGGCTAAACCTCATAATAGATTAGCAATAATGTGGTTCAATTCGCCTGTGGTAAAAATTAGACATAAGATCTCTTACTTACAAGTGAAGAGTAATACCATTAGACTGTAATACTAAATGACTACTTAGCACAAATTAAAGTATAGACTTCGCATGGATAAGAATGTATCTTTTATAATTTGTGATGAAGATTAATTGAATGTTATATTAAAAGTATAACAGTACAAAAGGCTTGCATTTTAATAATGATGACTAAATGCCGGTGTGACATGATAGGCCAACCTTGAAAGCAAAAAGTGGCATGATAGTATGGCATTATTGCCAGCAAAGATTTGGAATTATATGCATGCCATAGAGACACGTAGCACCACAAACTCTCGTGAAATTTAAGGTTAACAACAAAATCACATATCAACAAATCCAGAACAGTACAAAGTATGCGAGGAAATAAAATTCAAATAATTTCGGATTGAATATAACATTTCAAAACTAATATATTTAGTGTGTTTAAAAGAAAAACTCCAATTGAAAAGTATCTTAATTACGTGAGAGTTTTTGTTATCCTAAAGATTCGCATATCAATTTCGTTTGTAAATTCAATATAATGATTATGTTTAATTTGAAAAAGTGAAACTTTTCCATGTTGATAAGCTCGTGGTTGGAAAATGGGAATTACTTATTCTAGCCCATGAGAAAATAGGAAGAAGGTGAAACCCTTCATCCACCATCTCGAGTTTCATATTCTTTTCCCATAAGAAATCAATACAAATATTATTATTATTTTTGTATGATCAATTTGCTCCCATCGACGAATAAAAATGCCCCAACTTCATCTTGAGGAATGGATTTTCTGGTTACTATCTCTTCATTACCAAACACATAAAACGGATTTTTTTTCACTCGCCAATTACATGAGTTTAAATAAAATGTTAAGTCAGATACTTGTTTGAAAATACTTTTAAAATAATAAAAAAAAAATCATGCATATTTTGAAAATCATTTAACGTTTGACAAAAAAGTTATAAATACATATGTGATCTACTAACACTTTTTAAATGATTCATCGTTCATAATTTATCAAGAAAGTTACACTTGTCAAGCGCTTCTTCAAGAATAGATGCAATTGGAATGGTTGTACAATTTTTTTTGTTCCAAAGATAATAATGAATTTCACTCAAACATCACTCAAAACCAGTACATTAACGAGTATGAGAACGGTTTTTGAAACTTTAATCGAGTAAAATCCAATGAAAAAAAGCCTACTAAAGAATGGTTGTACAAATTAAACGTACTTCTAACAAAAACGCCAAAAGCGTTCGTAAAAAAGTACTTCCTGGATAAACATCCCAACCAAAATGATGATTAGTGGAAATTGCGACGGTAAATTGACCATTAATCAGTCAAGTCGCCTTGTGTGACCACGGACAAGTTTCAAGCAATAGCGATAGCAACGCCAGCGCCAATATAGCGAACGAACGCCTCGACCGTAGGGACAGGGTAATCCCCTGTGTCCGAGAACACCGTATAATATCCCAATTTCATTCTCTCTCTCTTAACATTTTGTAGGCATCAAAAGCAGAGTTTGGTTAAGCTCTGAGCTGTACAACAGCCATAGCTACACGCCCTCCAAAGATCTGTTACCTTCCATTTGATACACACGAAGCGAGGCAGTGGGTGGATCTCTGCGACGACTTCGTTTGGCTAGAGTTCTGAAGAAGTAGGCTACTTCTTCCTCCATCCGCAGCGAATTGAGGTCGGTACTATTTGTTTCTCGTGGTTGCGTACATATTCCGATTTGTTTCTGCTGTTTGAATGCTCGTTGGCGGCTCTGATTTTTCAGATCCGCCGCAGTATGGTGGTTTCTGTACTGAACAGGTTGCCGTCTGTTTGGTTGCCTAGAAAATGCTGGCTGATAAAAGAATATTTGGAGTTGATTGTCTAGTATAGGAATTTGAATTTTGTAGAAGATTTCGATTTGATGTGTTTATCGACTGATTGGTTTAGTTTAGTTTAGTTTAGTTTAGTTAAGTTAAGTTCATTGCTCTCTGGAAATGAAATCGATACAAAACTTAAAATATCGCTATGATTTCGGCGTAATTTGTTGAGATTCTAGTGGCTAAGTTATGATTCAACTCCGCGTCTTGTCCGAATTTATGTGTTTTTGGTAGTAATTATGGTTTATGATGAAACAGGGAGTGTGAGAATGGCGAGTCGAAAGGAGGAAGAGAAAAATGAACGAATTATTCGCGGCCTTCTTAAACTTCCCGAGAATCGCAGATGCATCAACTGCAACAGTCTGGTACACAATTCATTGCTTTCTTGTTCAATGTTCATTCATTGTTGCTTTCGTTGTTTAACACGTCACTTGTACATCTGATAATTGTATTGTTTGTGTCTCATTATGGTTTAATGGAACTAGATGGAATTCGGTCCAAACTATGTTTACTGAAATTATGTAAAGTAAAATTAACTTATATTTTACATTAGTGAGTAAGAAACTATATGATAGATGCAATTGAATTATTGGAGAATATAACTTGAGCAAGTCTGATGAAGTATCACACAGACCGTATTTTATATGTAGATTGGCGACCTTAGAAACAAATTATTACCTTAGGAGCAATATTTATGTCCAAAAGATTTGTCATGAGACTAATACTATGGTTTTGAGTTCAAAGAGTACACGTGGGTAAATTTATACGTAAAAAGTATGATTTTGTTGTTAAAACTTACATTCGTCTTTAAATTTCATTTTCTGCCAAGCAGGGGCCACAGTATGTTTGCACAAATTTCTGGACATTTGTTTGCACGAACTGCAGTGGAATACAGTAAGTCATGATGTACTCTGCTGCATTATTTCTTAAAGATATATATTCCTTTTCTCTGCATGTGTGTGTAAAACTGTAGATTCAGTAGAGGCGGAGGGGGATGCAGTGGTTATATATATTTATTTATTTAACTATTCTCCTTTCATGTTTCGAGCGCACCACTTATTGATTTGCTTACGTTGTGTTAATTGCATGAATTGTTTCCAGCCGTGAGTTCACACACCGTGTAAAATCAGTATCGATGGCCAAATTTACTTCACAAGAAGTTAATGCCCTTCAAGAAGGGGGAAATCAGGTATTCATGCATCTCTCTTCTCAGTTCTTAGAGATACATGAGATGTTCTTTCTCTCTGTTGCTTATCTTCTCAGTTTATTTTGGGCTCCTCTCTGCTTCCCCATTACAGCGTGCAAAGGAAATTTATCATAAAGAATTGGACCCACAACGTAATTCCTTTCCTGACAGCAGGTTAGTACTCTTTTATTCAGTATTATGTTAGTGCCGGTAATGACTTTGGTTCTGATTCAAATCTTTGATTCCAGTAATGTTGAGAGACTTCGAGACTTTATTAAGCATGTATATGTGGATAGAAGATATACTGGTGAGAGAAACTTGGACAAGCCTCCAAAGGGGAAAATGGTGAGCTATACTTTATACCAAGTGCTACCATATACCTAAAGTCAACATACTGATTCAGTTTATTCTTCTATCACAATGAAATTGTTGTAAGTGTTTCTGGGTTTAATTTGTTAATTACATGTCATACAGGGTGAGAAAGAAGATTCCTATGACAACAGACGAGTGGATTCATATCAGGGTGGCTCTCGAAGCCCGCCATATGAGGATAAATATGACCGTCGTTTCAGTGATAGGTCTAGTCCTGGTGGAAGAAGTTATGATGGGCAAAGAAGTCCGGGATATGATCAAGAAAGTCGGCAGTCTGGTGATTATAGGAGAAGTCCTGGTCGACCCGAAATTGTGAATGATTGGCGTCGAGAAGATAGATTTGGAAATGGGAGTCGAAATGATGATCGTAGAATATCTGATGGAGATTCTAAAGTGGAAGGAAAATCACCTGAACGACCAAGAGATCTAAATTCGTCTAGTCCCCCTATTGTACGGCCTGTTAGAGAGATTTTGGGGGAGAACACAATACCTCTCCGTATAATTGAACCTCCAAAAGCTAACAGTGCTAGAGCTACTGATAGCTCTGTGCATGCACAGGTGATGATGCTTCTCATCTGAATCATCTTGGTGTTAAAATATTATCTTCCCAAAGTATTCATTTTGTGATTGAAACACTTGATGGTTTTTTAATGCATATTCCTCTATTACACTGTTTTCATTTACATGTGAGACCAATATAATGTTTCAGCCGTTATATGTAAAAGAGCTGCTAGTGCCTGTGGATACATATTTAGTCACAATCAATGTGATTGTGATCCCCCGCATGTCTGCAATTTTCATCTTTATTTCGAACATTAGTGGTAAAAAATCTGCAGGAGTATTTTCTTGTCTGATTATTCAGTTCATTTTATGATTAAATTGGCTTGATCTAATACATTGCTGGTTTGCAGTTATGTTTAGTTACTTTTGAGTTTAATTGCTGCTCATTATTCTCATAAGTTTGTCTGAACAAGTATAGATGCTCTATTTCTACTATTTTTTAATGTTTGCATTTTTTGCTTGCTTGACTTAGCATGGCTTCATGTCAGCTTACCGTAATGCTTCACACTTTCCTGTAGTGATATCTGTGTTAGTCATGTTACATAGAAGATGATCGAATAGTGTATTTGTTTGGTAATTTTGTCTTTTCATCGTCATTCCCAAAATAATATAGTAGAGTTGCTTTTATACTCCTTTTTAAATAATTTCAGAGAAGTGTGTCGTCCAGCAGCTTGGCCTCCTCTAATGGGAACCCAGTGGAAGTGAAGCCGGAGACTTCTGGAAGTTTAATTGATTTTGATGCTGATATTGAACCTACTCCAGCTGCTGCAGTTCCTCAAGCGCAACAACCTACTGTAGCTCAATCCTTACCACAGCCAGCAAATTTAACCAATGACAACAATTGGGCCTCTTTTGATGTTGCTCCAGCAGTAACAGTACCTCAAGCTCCTGGGAATGTGAATTCATTAGAATCTCTACTATCACAATTATCAGTTTCAGCACCTGTCCCTAGTTATACTTCTGGGACTGCAGGTAATATTGGTGCTCCCACAGTTGCACCAGTAAGCAGCTTGTCAACATTTCCCCCTGTTGGTGCTCCGGTTCCTGCCCCTGGATCTCAAGCATTCCCAGTAAATGGTGGTAATTTCCATTTGAAAGATGCTGCTTCTGGCCAATGGCCTACCATGCAGCATCATCAACCTTCATTATACCCTGTTACTGGTATTCAACCTGCTGCACAACAATACATGCCTTCCGTCGATGGAACTTCGACAATTGCATCACAGTCGTCAGCTGGGGATGCAAAATCTACTGGAAGAAGAGAACTTCCTGCGGTAATTATACTTTTTATTGGCTTTGCTGGCATCATCATAATATATAAGCTAGATGTACTTTTTGGTCCTGTAGTTTAAGCCCTCTTTAACCCTTGTTCTAATTTAAACTAGTTTACTCTGTAGTTGCTAGCATTTTTGGTTTACATTTTGTCACACAGAGAAAATGTGAATTTTTGCATTAATTTCTCCAAAATCCAATATCAGTGTGACCAATGCAACAAATGTGGAATTGAGACTTTCCGAAATGTAAACTTCTTTACCTATAGAAAATTTTCAATTTTCCATCAACCATGTGACAAAAGTGAAAATTTGGTCGCATTGAAAATGTTGCAAAGTATAAGGGTAAATTTGTTGAGGTTACCCTACAGGGACCAAAGTGCAGTAACCTAAACTTTAGGGACCAAAAGTGAAATATCGGTTAGATATGTATGTACGCATGTATTTGATTAAATCTGAATTGATGGCAGGATATTTTTGCAATGAACTATCCATCCTTTCCTGCATCAGTTCCTGGATGGCAAACTGGTCCACGTGGTATGGGGTTTCCTATGCCATATAACACTGCAGTGGTATTGTCTCTCAATTCGACATTTTAAAGATAATGAGTTGGTTATCTTCACAAAATGATTGGTATAAACCATTTCTTAAACTTGTATTTGAATCTCTGTTTATAGCCCATGCCCAATTATCAGCAGTCTTCAAAGTCAGCAAACCCATTTGATGTAAAACGTGAACCACAAATACAAGCCTCAGCGGTATGTGATTTCAATTCATCTTAAGTTATCCTAATTAATGCACCTCTACCTTTTTGGTGGTATTTTATATTGTTATTTGACATATCTGTAAAAGAATATATGATGACATGCATGTTTGCTGAACTTATGAATTTCGTATGGTTTATCAATCTGTTAGAAGATTGAGTAGACTTGGAAAGGGAAGTTTGAGTAAGAAGTAGAACTAGAACAGGAAGGTTGTATCACTATTAAATTCAAGAGTGAGGAAATACTTTATTTCAATAAATTTACAAACTTAAAGGTGGCTGGAATCGCTTGCTTGTGTTAGTTTGATGTACATTATTGGCCAATTCTTTAACAACATAAATCTTGTGGTTGTCTATATATAGTACTAGAAGAGTTTGAAATCTTGAATCCTCATTCCTTATTCTTATCCGTAACAGAACGAGTTTTACGTCCCGTGGTTGTTTAGATAGATTGACTTTTAGTTTGCTCAAATCAATGACTCACCAGAAAACATGCTTTATTAGTTGGAATCAGGACCCAAGCATTTGTTTTTAGCTGTATATGTTCTTGATATCTCATCAATTGATGCATCTATTTGAGCTTCTTTGATGTGTTTTCTGTTGATGCAGTTTCCTTCCTTGCAAGCTCCCCTACCAAATGCCCAGCCTTTATCCCCATTGGGTTTAATGCGCACGTCCAGCCTTGGTGCTCCCTCGTCAGCATGGATGCCCCTCCAATCATCACCATATTCATCAGCGGTGCCTCCCCAAGGACCACAATATGCATCACAAGTGCCTCTTCAAGCACCACAGTATGCATCACAAGTCCCTCCACAGCCACCACAATTTGCATCACAAGTGCCTCCTCAGCCACCACAATTTGCATCACAGATGCCACCAAGTAAGACATTGCTGCTTTTTCCCCTTTTTTTTCATCTAGTAAATAGTGAAAGAAGTTTCTGATTCATCTTTCTTTAGTGGTTTGCTATCCACACATCTCTTTTTACTTCTCACACACATCTTGTTATTTTCCATCCATTGATCTTCTTTAATTCATCCAATCCGACGGCCGAAAATTAGAAGGGTGTGAGAAGTAAAAAAGAGTGTGTGGATAGCACACCCCTTTCTTTATTAGAAATGAGTGCCTAATTGTGGTTTGATAATCTCAGGGGCCTACATGGTGCAACAAGTTCCGAGTAGCATCCCACCTTCCGGGTAACCATAAGTTTGAGTTTTTTTTTTATTTACTATCTAAAATTAGTAGTTCCTCTTAAGTTTTTCTGGTTCTTCTACTTTACTAGCTGTCCTCATAGTTCACAAATGCGGGGTGTTATATCCCGGATTGGAACATAAGACTTTCTTGCTTTTCTGAATATAAATTCTGCATATGTTGAGTCCCCAAAAAAATAAATACGCTTGTGAAGATTTTAGAGTAATTTATATATTTTGATGAGATTATTTGTTAATTGTGATTTCCCTAACCTATTTTTCCTGCTTGTAGGTATCAAGGGGCAGGAGGCTTTGGCACCGATGGGGCGTCTTTTGGTTCATTAAATATGGATCAACAGCTGGCGGGTAGATTCTCAGCGCCCGCTACCCCAAATCCTTTCTCTTCGACGGGAGGAAATCCATTTGGGTAGATGAAAAAAACACAGGATGTCTCTAATCCCATTTAGGGTAAGCATCGTCTTGCTGCTCCCGCCGCACGTCAAATTGCTGGATGGAAAGTTTTGGTTTCCATCTCTGTAGTTTTTAAGTTATCCGATGCAGCCTAATGCGAGATTGTTCTATTGGATCATCACCGGGGGTCACAAGTCAAAAGGTCGACTTCCCGTCATGTACAATTTGTTTGTTGTTTGTAAGAGAGAAAGAGAGAGAGTATAGTTAAGAGGGGAATTAAGTTGTAGAGTTTGCTTCAATGGGGACCCTAGGTGTCTTCTTTTTTCAAGCCAAGGTGTTTCTTTTTTCCTTTTTAATTTTCTTTGCCTACTTTGTTGTATGATGTTGCATCTCATTATTATGCTGTGAGCTCATTGAGTCTAAGGTAGTTGGTGGAACAGTAACAATGATTTTACAGTGAATGCAGTTTGTACGTTAATACCATCGTCGATCGAGTGGTGAGATTATTTTCCGTTACGTTATTTTACGGTTTTGCCCTTGGTTCTCTGTTTTCAGTAACGTTGCAGCTTCGGGTTTTTCTATTGGTTTCTTGGCTTCCAAGAAACGTCAAATTTAGGCGGGCAATATTATTTGGTTTTTCTGTTAATTACTCGGTAATTATCGCTGCTTAATTAACACGCTAACCTTCGTATAAAAACTAAAAAACATTTTTACTACTGTGATGTTTTGTATCAATGTAAATGTGGAGAGGAATTCAAAATTTTATTATTGGCACAGAATGTTACGTTGGCGGTGTACCCGTGCCCAGGGCTAGAAGTCAGAGTAGCTAAATAAATCCTCTACTGGAAAAGAACCAATTGGCAATTTGCTATAGTATTGAACATAACAAACGACCTCTTGGGGTCAATTCGTGAAGAGCAAATATAACCTACTCCAATGCGTACAGATCCCTTCTTGTTGGGCATATGATCTTCATAGACATCGTGAGCTTAGGTGTAGCCAAATTGGTTTACACATTGTGTCTCTTTTTGCACTCTAATTCTAATTTCCTCTCTATAACTATAAACCGCTGGAATATGCGTTAAACATTTCAAAAACCAATCACGGACCTCAAAAAGATAAAGAAACTCTTTCGAGGACCCAAATTATATTTTCTTTTTCAATATTGTAACAAATAATAACATGCTAAGATTATTCTAAACCATATTTGCTCACACTACATATGGAGAAGAAAGTGTTATGAATTCACAACACTATACGGTCTTTTGGATAGGAGGACATAAAATGCTTCTAAGTAATGGGTAACTTGTATGTATTTTTCTTTCCCTCCTTAATCTTCACACAGTAGGAATTGGAAGTTGCAGTCAGTTCATTGGTGTAAAGTGCCAGCGGTGCTGCTGCCCATGGCGGCCTGAGGAGGTTCTTCTCAAGTATGCGCCGAGTTTTGATCCTCGAGGCTGATGCTTGGACACTCCCATATGTACAACCGATGAATGGGGCAAGATGTAGAAATAAACTTGTTCAACTTAAGCGGATTCCGCCGTTTGTCTGCTCTTCCATATGATTGGAGCCACCAGCATCCATACTGCAAAACGTAAAAGTTTCGTCTCAATTGAAATCCAGAAAAACTCAAATGCAGAATCCTGTCATCAATTTGTAACTCAATCGATTTCGTTTCGTGTTCTATACTCACAATACACGCAGACGGCGATCCACTCGTTCACAATCCTCACCCAAGTGCTGGCCCATCCCACATCAAGTGTAAACCTGCAGAATGAGGAAACTTGTTGAGCAAGCAAGAACGTAAGGGGCTCAATTTTAATTCACAAAGGTGGCGAAAAATACTTTTTCATGGACTGATGAGTATTCCAACCAATCAGCAGCATTGCAAAGTACATTGCTCCCGTGGCAAAAACGAAATGGAAGAACCCATAACCATATGGAACATCATCCTCGGATTCAGTCTCGTCGTTCCTGAACTGCAGATGTTGTCAGGCGCATTCTAAATGAAATATAAGGTGATCGATTAAAAGTTATTCAGACGGTGGAGCAAACCTTAAAGCATTTGGAATCTATGCCGGTTGAGAATGTCGCGATAACCATTGCAAGCACGGCTATAACAAAGCTCTGTCAACAAATAAGTCGTTGTCACAATTTTGTGTAGGAGAAAAGAAACATCTGTGAGCAATATTAAGAGTAGAGTATCACTATGATGGTGAGCCAATCTGTTTTGGTTGAATCCTCTGCCTTCTTGTTGCAACTTGTCCCCGCTGGTTCACTGCACTCGAAAGCAACAATTATGTATCAACGGAATTCACAAATATAACCAGTCACACGGTGGTGATCAACTATATGCGTGATTGTAGATATTGAAAGATTATGCAGCAATGCCATATAACATCTGTGAAATCTCAAATTGCACTAGCAAAACTTAAAACCGTACCTTCTAATAGCAAACCAGCAGATGAATACTATATAGAGCCCCATGAGACCCGGAGTCAAGATGCCGGCATTCACCTGTTCCGGGTGGAAATTAGCCAGCAAAACCACATTAAAACAAGGTTGAAAACCCGAAGGCAGGGTGATTAGCGGAACTTACATTCGGGTGGAGAGAGACACTGGTCATGAGTTGCAGTAGTACTAATGTCCAGGTAATGAAGAAAATGTTGAGGAGGCAAGTTGGTTCTGGTGCATACCATATGTACATCAATACGATCCCCACTAAGCATACAACATGTGCAGTAATTGCAAGTAATGTCACATAAATCCGGCTGCAGTGAAAACCTAAATTTAAATTAGCCCAAAATTCCAAGTAACGATATGGCTAGTAGCTACATTGAATTTGTTTCCAATGTCTGCGAAAAATGGAGATCCGATTTAGTTTAAACAAAGTCTTACCATCTTTCTGATTTGGTAGACTGACACCAATCGTTCAGCCACTTAATGAAACTGATTATGCTTATTAGCTGAATCAAGAGAAAAACCCTGATAGAACAATACCAGAACTTGTTAAAGAATACCCAAGAAACACATTTCGAAAGGTGAAAAGAAAGTGCATAGGGAATAATGTAACAACATCGAATCATACCCGGCACCAAAATGAGCAATCTCTCCTGCAAAAAGATTGTATCAGGTGGACGAAATTGGGTAGTTTCAAAATGAAAATGCAATTTAAAAGATGAATAACAAAAAACGGTTTTGGTTTATTTGGCTGACATTACACTAACCATATAGCTGAATGATTTTAGCAGGAAGCACAAAGGGAATGATGATGAAGGAAACCCACATGACAATCTTGGCAGACCACCATCCGGATTGCCACAAATCTCTGGGCTCGTTCAACTTCGATGTGCCAATAGTCGAAAGGAACATTGTGAAATAGAACAACTGATGAAGTATTAAGGTTTTACTTTACTTTGATCCACACGTAGACAACTAGAAAAATCATATGAAAGAGTGATAAACCTCGTCTCATCAATTGAAATAGTCCAGTTCAAACCGAGCCACGCAGAACAAAACAGAAAAAAAGGATACAAAGCAACCCAAGCTCACACGTAGGACTCCTTCTGCACCCAAACAATCCTTCACACCATGACATCCTTTTAATCCTGCACTCACAGCCAAAGGGTTTTAAACATTCTGCACTAATAATGTTTTGATTAACCCACATGTTTAAGATAAACTAATCATGTTTATCGAATCTATAGCAATGTGTTCATAAGCAAGTAGAGTAGAGAAGGGAAGGCAAATCATACTCTCCATCTCCGTCAACACACTGCTTCCGTAATCCCGGACAGCCCATGCCATAAGATTTGCGATCAAAAACATGAATCCATAGGCATATCTGGCCATCCATGGATTCGAGCCATTGCGAAATTGGCTGAACCATGAATCAACCTTGACTTTGAGTCCACTCCACTGATAGTTTCCAGCTGATCCACCCTCCTCCATTTCTACTCCATTCAACACTTCTTCAAGCTTTCTTCATCAATCAGATTTAAATCAGTGGGGTTTCTCTCTCTAACTGTCAGATTCTCTCACTCTCTTCCCTGCATAGTTGGGAGAAAATCACATGCATTTCATAGGAGATCTATACGTACAGTTACCAAATAGTCAAGACTAACAAATTAAAATAATGGGCTCAAATCTGGTTTGGTATTTAACATCATGGGTTGGTGATAGATTCTGTTCGAGGAGAGCAACTTTTACATGCAAGTTCTTCTCATGTCGCATAGCTCAAATAAAATGCAATCTTTTCATAAAAAATGTGATTTAAACGTAACCAGTCTTCTATACATGACTAGACGTGCACCAAAATAAAATCTTTTTTTCCCAAAAAATGCAATCTTTTACCTAAAAATGGAATTTTGGACAAAACCCATCTTCTATATTTGGCTGAAAGATGTACCGGAATAAGCAAAGACTACCATGCCATACTTGTGTTGGTCACAAATTCTGCCCAAAAGAAGGAACTTTGGGCACAAATTATGTAAATAAAATACTCAAAAGTGTCAAATTTCATGGAAAAGGTGCCGACTTTGTTAAGGAAAAGAAAAAACAAGAATGCTGATATCCCCATCTCTGTGTCTTATTTTATCACCCACATAAAAATAAAAATTTTATTACAAGTTTACCTCTTGATGAAATGACATATAAGGACCTAGCAGTTGTTCGAAGTTCAACCTTTGATTTTTACTGTTCTAACGAACTACTTTTGCTCTCTCGGCTCCTTTTCATCCTCTTTTCCCTCACAATATTATCCTCCTTCTCTTTTTTTTCCCATCTGATTTATTTTTTGTTTCTAAATTTTTTTCATGCTTGTTGGTCACCCGATATGTTAATTTTGGGATTTATGTTTTTGCCGGATGTGGTAACAGTGAGGATGGTAGGCTAGGTGGTGTTTAATGGTATGTTTGATCTGATGCTTTTACTATTGCCGCTCCTTCATCAAGATGCAAGATTCTCTGTATTTTGTCTTTACTGGAGCTTCGTCGATATCAGTGACAAACGCGCAAGGAGGAAGTATCAATAGTGAATGCGAGGAGGAAGAATTGGCAACGGCTCCGGCGTCGCTGAGATAAACCTGTTCGAGAATTACAGAGTCGGGAGGCTGCTGGGGTGCAGGGCCTTCGTGAAGGTGTACCACCCGCGAAACGTGGCGTCAAGGCCCTCAACAAACAGAAGATGCTCGAGGGTGGGTTCACGGTGGACGGTGAAATGGGTTGCCGTCGAGTTGCGCTGTGTTGTATAGGGTTGGGTGGTAGTTGGGCTGAGTGATTTTTGCGGTTTATTTCTTTCAATTTCTGGAAAATAGTAGAATATATTAAGGTTGGTTTAGGAAGATTGGTGGGTGGAGAAAGAGTTTTTTTTTTTTTTTTTAACTTTTTCGAGGGGCGATAATATAAGGTGGGGTGAAGAAATAGGATTCTAGGGTAGGTCTAGTATCTCTCAAAAACAAAAAAAAGTGGGATAGAGAGCATTATCCTTGAGGTGGTGGTTAACTTGGTTTGCACTTGGAAATAAAACCTTCTCAAGATCACCACAATAACTGGGATGCTTTTTCGTTGAGTGGGTTTTTTTGGGGGCAGAAGTTTGGGCGAGTGGGCTACAACGACAGAAACGGGCGTTGCACGACAACATCAATACCATAATTGATGATAGGGAGCTAAGTATATTCTTCGACACATTCTTATTGTGACGATCATACTGTCACGTAATATTATTAATTTATGTGTTATAATATGAGTGTTACAGTAGCTGAATTAATTAATCTATCAAAGACTTGATATATGTTATAAAATGAGTGCATTAATAACTCTGCATGATAGTGTAACGATCGTTCCGAAAAATGGTTTCGTATTCTCTCCTAACTGATGGAGCTTGATTAGAATCAGATGCAGCAGAATAAGCATTAAGCAGGCAGGCCAAATGGATCTGCTTGAGAGTTATGGAATTCAGGTGGTGAATATTTTAGACGGCTTAGATTCAACAAAGGTAGGACCCACAAGTCCACACATTTGATGAAGCAAGAAAAAAGCGGATGATCTGCACCACATCCTGGGGAGGATGACGTGGTAGTCCACAGCTCCAGCTCTCAGATTTTTATTTTTTATTTTTATTAATTTATTGCTTTATATTATTAAGTAGGAGAGCATTTCTTCAACTGCAAGTCTGCAAGGGTGCTCCGCGCCTGAACATCTTCCCACTGAATTCTGCAATTTTTCTCTTAGGACGATTATACCCTCAAATTCTTTACTCTTTTTTGGCGAGTTTATGCTAAAGAAATAGCTACTTATGGAGATTTATGTTTTGATAATTAGATGGGTCAACTTGTAATTTGACTCTTTATCACTAATATAATATAAATCTGCATATTTTTTGCTTTAGCCTGTCTCCAATGAGCACAAAAGGAAGACAACCCGAGAAGGCAAAGTAGAAAAAGGTGCCAGAAAAAATATTTAAAAAAAAAAAAAAAAACTGACTTTACTCTTTGAGAAAAATATTAAACAAGACAAAAAAATTCGTGATAATGTGAATATTTATATGATTATATGTACATGCTTCGATTTTGTTTTCCTTCGGTTTCTCACCAACCAAACAGAAATTCCAGCATTTGAGCCTTGTGATCATCGGAACAGTTTTAAAACTTGAAATGGGTTCTCACTTCTCAGTTCTATTGCAATTATATGAACAAACAAAAAAAAATGTTATGAAAGAATAAAAAATTTTGGATTTTGAGAAGAAAGAACAGAACCCAGATTAATATCAACCCAACACACAGAAAGATCGAATCTTTACCGTCTAAAATAATAATAAAAAATAAAAATAAATGTCGAGAAAAATTGTAGAAATTAAAGATTAGTGAGTGAAAGAGAGAGTACCTGAGAGATGAAGTGGCAAATGGGCAATGCACAAATGGAGGAATCAACTAGTGAGTTGGGAGCTTCGAGAGCCTCTCTCTCTCTCTCTCTCTCTCTCTCTCTCTCTCTCTCTCTCTCTCTCTAAACCTCTGAGAATCTGAGACTCTCTCTCTAAACTTCTGGGAGTCTGAGACTCTCTCTCTATGTCTCAGATTACGACAAAACAGAGAGAGAGGCAGCTTTGTTTTATTTTGTTTTAGAGAGAGAGAGAGAGAGATTGCTTTGAGGAGGTTTAGCTTTGCTTTGGGTGGGTTTCCTTTATTCTTTATTTTCCCGCCGTAAGCTTACTGTCTCCGCTTCCCGTCGTATCTTTCAATGTTTATTTTACTAGTTTACGGTTTTAACCTAATCAACCAAATATTCATTAAATCAAAATTAAAGAGAGAACAAATTGCCAATTTAACCTAAACGACACAAATTATAATGATTGGTGATTAGTGTTTGGTTAAGTACCAGTTTGGCACAGCTGAAATTATAAAAAAGTTGAGGTCTTTTTAGTGTTTGGTAAACACACTGAAACCAGCATTTTTTCACTGTTAAGGGTGAAAAAAGGCCAAAATCCTGAAGCAGCAAATCATAGCTTTGAAAAAACAGTTTTTTTTATTTTTAAAAACATGCGGAGCTACAGTGCAATGTTAATGAAACTTTCTAAACTCCAATAACACCCTTTTTAGTTTTACAAAATGACAATCTTTGTCCCTAAAACAACTGGATGGATTATTCTCACAGCACAGCAGAATCAGTTTTTTTAAAAAGCACAACAATATGAAACTAGCCCGAATGCACTCATTCTTAATGATTAACTGTTGAATATGTGAAGCCGGTTAATACTGTGGAAAACAAACAACCCAACAAAATAATATAAGCAAGGTTGACAAAAAAAAAAAAAAAAGCAATGTTAAGACAAAGAAACATACAAGAACTAACGTGGTTCGACTAAGTGTTTTGTCCACGGAGTAGCAATAATAGATCTCCACTATATTGACGGCAAGTAAAACGGATTTTATCAATCGAAAAGTTTACATATTTTAAAGCACATTTTACTTTTCAGTATATTCTTATCCTAGCTCCTCAAAACATAGTCGAAAAGTTTACATATTTTAAAGCACATTTTACGTTTCAGTATATTCTTATCCTAGCTCCTCAAAACATAGTAATTAACTTCTTTTTTTTTTTGCTCGTTGATACACGTAAGAGCGCAACAACACCCCTTGTGTATGTAAAATAGTGGGCTTCCTCGTCAGTGAGGAAATCTAATATCAATTGGAATTTGATTACAAGTATATGAGTTCTTTGATTAGTCGTGATAAGCTTTGGGAAACTAACGGTGGACAAAACAACCCAACAACCTCACGGCAACATTAGTATTTGATACATGCTTGACATAATCATGTTTTTAAGTTAATTATGATAACTATGATACCAGCTTTGCATTAAAAAAGAAACCCTATGTTACTTTCGTTTATACGTATATACATTGCGTAGAAATCCATCTCATAAACCTTCTTCTTTAAAATCACTACAAAACTGACAATAATTTAATTAAATTCAGTGATATTGTTAATTATATTAGTCCCACAAATCACATGCCTCTTTTTTAAATTACAAATAAAATTATTATTTTAAACTACACAATGAGAGATAGAGGGTTTAAACCATAAACAAAATGAGTTGAAGAGAAAAAAAATTATCTATCATGCCAATTTACAGATAATTCAAGCATTTTCATATACTTAAAAATCAATGCACAACCCCCCATATTTCAAGTCATAAGTATTTTTTAGGTCATTTTGACGTCACTTAATTTAGTCACAAGTTTAACATCACAAAAAATAAATGATAAATTGATGTGTAGAATCTTTTGAAGGCCAAAACTTGAAGAATATAATATATTAAACTTAAAAAGATTATATTAAACTAAGGTTGATTGCTTGAGTTTAGTGGGTGATCAGAGTATAATTGAGAAATATTCTCTAAGATCAATTGGTAAGCTCACAATACAAGGGCTTGATGATCACCAATACCATAATTATTCCTAATAATCTAAATTAAGACATCAATCGTCAAATTGAACATCTAGTAAACTAATATGGACACATCAAAATTGCAAATCAGAAGGTCAATAATATCTAATAAAATTGGAAAAATTCTTTATTTGTTCTCATGATAGATAAATATTATAAAATTCACTTTTCAATTCGGCGGAGCTCCATATAAATTATAAATAAAACAAAATTGTTTTTTAAGAATGAAGAGAAAGAAATGGGGAGGATACAAGAAGGAATCTTTCACATGCAGTTTTCAGACGTCAACGTTTACGTATGGATCCGTGCATGCACATGCTTGTAATTTGAGTCACCGTCACACGGAGTAGGATTCTCTCTGCTTCTATTTTCATCATCTTTCATTTCCTTCTCTCATAGTTTTCTTTTTGTATTTCTCTCTAATAAAATTAATACAAGATGTTTATATAACTTAATATTAACCATTTAAATAGAAGGGGAGGAAAGGGAGAGAGATTATGAGGGGAAATAATCCTTCTCCCTATCACAGATGTCCATTACGAAGGATGATGCTACATAAATCATTTTTTAGGAAATTTTTTTGCTCACCACACTTGGTGATAGTATTTATCATTATTAAATAGTTCAACGGTTGAGATCTGAGTAGGGAATATACATAAATTTCAAGATTTAACCTCATCCAATGGAAATATATAAGGTGGTGAACAAAAATACATCATTTTTTAAATCATATTTCATAGATTTTATGATGCAGCTTGTAATAGTTGGATTATTTTTTTTTTAATCATTAAAAAAAGTCAAACCATCAAGGCATCAACCATTCACATCATGTAATTTTACAAAATATGCTATCAAATATGGCCACCCTTACATTCTCCTGGTATAAGCGTATGAGGAGTTCAAGTTCTAGTAATCTTCTATTCCTAATTTCTCTTCTTCTTTTAATGTTGCACAATATTTCGAATTTGAAGTCTTTTAAAGATTGAATCTACTTATAAGCGAGTGAGTGAAACGCGTGGCAAGAGAGCAAGTTTGACTCGCAAACAATCGGCAAGTGATGGTAATCTAAAGGTTTAAAATAAAAGGATGAATTATGTTATTCAGTTGAACACAAAATTTTCACTTTCTATAATCCAACAACTAACGGTTTTTTGTTCAATTGATTTTGTGCTAAGTAAATTTTAAAAGAATTAACTAAAAAGCGAATAATTTCTACCATAGTCTGATTTTGCATAATTAGAAAGGGAATCAAGAAGATAGAACCAGAAAAATTCGACTTAGTGAACCTAATCTCCCCCATCCAATATATACAAATGAATATAGCTTAATATAATTTTATTTTTGTCACTTAGAATTACAGTCTAGTGGTATTCATATTCACTTGTAAATGAGGGGTCTTCAGTTTAATTCTTGCCAAAAGCAAATTTGAACCACATTATTGCTAGCTCATTATGAAGCTTAACCTACTATTTAGTGTAGATAATATTGTTTATTAAAAAAATAAAATAATATAAATAATTTCACTTTCACTTTCACTTTTCCTTTTCACCTAAAATGGGTAAATTTGAAAGATTGATGTTACATGGGCCATCAGCGTCAATCAAGGAACCTCTTGTATTAAATCAAGATGAAGTTTACACTTTACTTAATTTATGTTATTCCTATCAACTCACATGAGTCACTGGTCATGATTACTCATGAATAGTCATTAGGCATGGTTTAATTCGTCATTAAACTATTCAGCTCTCTCTAACTTACGTTTTTAATTGTATCTTCTGGGCTTTAAGTTGTCAAATGTTCACCCAAACGTTGAAATTCAGGGAGTGAATGGTCATTTCACAACTGAGATGTGACTCAGAAATGACCAGAGGATGAGATGGGCACTGCCGAAAGCCAGGTAAAAACTGAATGAAAATATAACGTAAGAAAACAAAAAGAAAAGATTACGACTAATTTCATCACCGTTTCGTTTTCAGTTTAATTTTTATTTTTTCTTTTGCTTTCTTCTCTCCGGCATTTATTGGCTTACGTTTCGCTCGTAGACTTTTTACCTGCGAAAGTAGTTATCAAAGGAGACACGATTTAACGTTTTTCTTCAATTGTGCAATCGGCCTAAAGATTGTTGGGAAGAAGCTAACTGGTTTAAGTGGAAATTTGATGGGCCTAGTTTTAAGGCCCATATTCTGGTAAAGCCTTACCAAGAAGTCCAAACATTTTGAAGGCCGGTGCAAAGAAGCCCAAAGCTTTCCCATCACAATGGTTTTAGGCCCACATCCATTGCTTCATGGTTTTATGATAAGTTCCCAGCCCATTGGATCACTTAGGCCCCTTTTCGTAACTGAAACCAAAAGCCAACTTCAGATTTTTATTATGTATACTTGTATATGACCACACTAAGTGGGTATGAAATTTTTTATTCTTGTTTGTAAAATTGGAGAGAGGAAAAGAGTGAGAGAGAACGTGTGACCGGAGAGAGAGGCAAAAAGGTTTATTTTTTTTAAATTAGAGATGTTAAATCATATGTAGATGAGGCTTAAACAAAAACAGCAAAATTTTATTTTGTAAAATTACATTAATGACCTTACTTTTTTTTATTCTCATCGAAGACTATATTATCTTTTCACTCTATTTTGGTTGACAAAAAATGCTCTATTAATGTGTAGTTTAGATTATTATTCTTAGTAACGTCATAGTGTCTGTAGATTAAATAATTAATTGTTAGAGAGGTGGAGAATTGTTGAATATCCAACCTATACCAGAATGTACGTGCACAATTATTTTCTGTCACTTCATGTGATGTGTACGGTGTAATGTCTCAAGGCTATTACATACTATTTGTGAGTCTGCACCATTCAATTATTGTGTCAATTATATTTGTACGAAGCTGCATTAATAAGTCAATTTCCAAAACTAATTTTAATAAAAAATAATTCGTCGAGTTTCTAACGGGGTGTATTTTTTGTTCACCATTTTAAGTGAGCTTAATTATTATCATTTGATGAATTTAAATTTTAATATTTGAGTCGGTCTACTACATATTTAAAATTTAAACTTATCAAACGATAATAAATAAAATGGTGAACATCACTATCATTTAATGATGATGAACAAAAATAATACTTTAAAAATGCGAGACTTTTTTGTAGAAGTGGTTCCAAACTAATCAAAATATCCATTAAATTAAGTAGATGATGCGCATCATGAACTGCTTAGAATTTGCCGGCCATCTTCAATAAGCCTATAGTTTGCCAAATACCCTAAAAGCATTGGATTTTTTTTTAGTAAGAAGAAAAAATAAACTATATATATGTGTACCTAATATAACGTCCATATGGTAATGGCATCCATGTTCCTCTTTTACTTTTTCTTTGTTAATCCTTTTTGTTTGTATGCGTATGTGATGTTGCTCTTGCATCATCAAACTAATGGATTTATTATTAATACAAAATTATAAAAGCTTAAAGAAAAAGTAGAACACCTTCATATGAGGCTTAATCGTAATTATAAATATGTATTTTTATTGTTGTTTATGCGAGTTGAATTTCAAATCTCTTCTAACTAAATGAAGACAAACAACACCAACTCAATAGCATTTAATCAACACTCTTAGCTATCGGGAGATGAACAAGTATACGATGACTATATTGAATTGCAAATGTAAATTTCGGACTTTATTTTTTGTATTTTAATTTTATATGACCCGACGCCATTTATACGTTTGACCTAATCACAGGCTGTCGAAAGAGGCCCAACATTAAATGGCAGTTATGTCCTATCTCAGGTAACGAAAGCAAGTCAACTAACTTGTTAAATTAATCAAAATTTTCATGAGAAAAATGGTGGTGAAAAAGTGCTAACATCCCATGTGGGCGTTTATCGAATGAGGCCCCATTTCTACGACACATCACCATGACACCATCCCTTGATTGGATATCTTTGCATCTTGTTTTCCACAGGCGACGAGAAAACGACATGGGGAACGAAGCAGTCTATATACATTAATACAAGGAAGATGATTTGAAATCGAGATGCAGTAAGTTGAATGCCAGTTGCCTAAATTTATAATCATCAAATAGAATAAATCAAACAGAACCAATGGCCAAGATTAGTATGAGGTTCACTCGGTTTGGGTAGTGCATGGAGTTGAAGTTTAGAGGGCAGCACATGAAAAGTTGGCCATTTGGTCGTCGCAATCAAGTCCCTCCTCTTATTTATGTCCGTGTCCAATTCTCCATCCAACTATCCGAGAGAGAGAGAGATGCTGCGTGTGGATGGTGGCATTACAGCATTGGGCATATGAGGTAACTGCATGGTGAATCCGCATCACATCTTTTTTTAAAGATGATTCCACTTGGACAGTAACTTCCATGGTCCATGGTTAAAAAGTGTTAAAAAGTAGGATATGCATTAATAATGCATAATTGTGTTGGTCACGTTGGATATATTGATTGATTATTATATATTTCACCCTAACAGAAATTTTTTAAGTCAAGTCGCCTGATCACGTGGGTGGTTATTGAAAGTCTGCCGCTCATCATGCCTCTCCACCCAAATATTTGTCCATTGAATCTTTGATCAACGACAACCGAGCAGGTCGGGACCGAGACCCTCCCAACCACCCCATCCCGGAGAAACAGAGATCCGGTCAGAAAATTAAAAAGGGCCTATGAAAGGTGAAGTTACAAGTTACAAGAGGAAAGGAGAAAGAGGATTCGCCAAAGATTTTAAAAGAGAAAAAGAGTAAAGTATTAGCGACAACAGTCAACACCGACAAACACCAATTCGTGATGACGAATGATTTCAGGGGCCAAAAGATGACCCATTTCAAAGCCTTTTTTTCATGATCAAAAGCATGAAATGTTTCAAATTCCAACGGAGGAATTGAGCAAGTCTGAGCGTGAAGCAACAAGGGAGGTTTCAAATTCGAAATTTCAAAATTCAAATTTGATACGATATTAGGGAAGTGCACATGAAAGTTGATGATAGCAATCCCAGACAAATATTAATCCAACAAAAAAGATGAGATGAGAAATTGAATGGAGCACCAAATCAATAAGCCTTTCGGGGGCGCTATCCAGCAATTCATCATCTCACATTCTCGTTTTGTTGTATCAGCAGGCTGGCCGACCGGTGGTGTTTTACTGCCTTGCCGGTCGGCCAGCTGTACTGATCTTGCATACCGGAATCCTGCCCCTGTATGAGCTTATGATCGAACGATCATCGAAAACCAATTGCAGACCCATTTTCTCACTTGCATTCCATCAAGCAAATGGAGACTGAAAGTGAAGAACAAATAACATAGCATGCAGATTTCAAGCTCATAACACAAACATAAGTAAATAGAAATCGGAAGAGAACAAGTAAAATGTTCAGGATTATAATATAGAAATTGGAAATTGAGAAGAAACAAAAGTATGATATGAAAAAAAAAACAAAAAAATAGAGACAGTAAAACAATAAAACCCACCACAAACCCAGCAGCGGCGGAAGGAGGTGGTGCTGCTGTGTTTGTAGCCTGAATTATGATCTCCGAAATGCATCTCCTATACATAAACATTCTCTGCAACCTACTTTCTCTGCCAATTTTATTTTCCACAACTCATCGAATGGATAATCCATAACAATTTCAAATAAATACGGAGAGACTTTCTTTCTCCTCTTACCCCTCTCTCTCTATACTGATATTACATCTCTATGCTTTCACCTCTTCTTCTCTGTTTCTTCAGACATTGGTTTGCCGTTGCCAATATGGTGATTGACTCCAACAATTGCATCAATCTCAAATTTTTATGCTTATTACACGAGCGATGAGAATTGCCCGTAAGGGAGAGAAATGTTGGTGCGGGGGAGGGAAAAGGAGCCGTGACTCTGAACAAGGACTGCTGAGTTTTTGGTGATTGTGCTCCGGGAAAGGTTAGAGGAGGAGAAAATTCTCAAAAGAATCAATAGAAGGGTGGTGGCGGAGGAGACGCGTAAGAAACTCCAAAGATGGGTGGCAATGGGCCCTCATATACAGGAGTGGGAGGTGGTGGGCTTTCATAAACAATTGACGGTGGTGGAGAACCGTAGTGAACCGGTGGTGGTGGTGATGGATAAGATGGTGGGGTTTCACATGGAATTGAGGGTGATGGGGATGGTGGTGGTGGGGAATTGTAGTGAACAGGTGGTGGTGGTGATTGGTATTGGACTACAGGGGGAGGCGGTGAAGGGGATGGTGGGGGAGGGGACTGGTACACTGATGGAGGTGGAGAAGAATAGATAGGAGGAGGTGGTGGGGGTGAGGGTGAAGGTGGCGGCAAGTAAACAATGGGAGGAGGTGGAGGGGGAGGTGAATATTCAATACATGGTGGCGGGGAAGGTGGAGGGGGTGGTTCTATACAAAGTGGTGGTGGTGGCGGTGGTGAGAGGACTGGGGGAGGTGGGGAATGTCCAGGAGGTGGCGGTGATGGATAGACATATATTGGTGGTGGCGGTGAATGCGGTGGGGGTGGTGGTGAATGTGGAGGTGGGGGTGAATAGTACATATAAGGAGAAGGTGGAGGTGGAGAGCTCAATGGAACCGGTGGTGGAGGTGGTGGGGGCCGCACGCAATAGGGTGGCGATACCGTTGGTGGAGTTGGAGGTGGTGGTGATGGTGGGGGAGGAGGTGATGGTGATGGTGGGGGTGGGGGAGGAGGTGATGGTGATGGTGGAGGTGGAGGGGGAGGCGATGGTGGAGGTGGAGGTGGAGGTGGAGGGGGAGGCGATGGTGATGGTGGGGGTGGAGGGGGAGGCGGAGGTGGAGGTGGTGGTGGTGAGGGTGGTGGTGGGGGTGGTGAGTAAACTGGTGGTGGGGGCGGGGGTGGTGACAACACTGGAGGTGGTGGAGGTGGTGGAGGTGGAGAGTAAACCGGTGGTGGAGATTGGGGTAAAACAGGAGGGGGAGTCGAAGGAACCACAATAGGCGGCGGTGAAGGCATAGGAAGTGGAGGCGAAGGCGGAGGGGGAGTAGGCAAAGACGGAACAAAAGGCTTACATCTAAAAGAACTACAATCCACAGGCTTCGACAAGAACGACTTACACTGCGCTGCCGTTCGCTGCGCCGGCCTATTCGGCAAGCAATTCCTCTTGTCGTCAAAGCCAGCCAGTCCCAGACACGCCGGCGGCTCACCCGTGAAGAAGTTATACGAGTAAGTGAAGTTCTGCAGACTCGGCAGCGAACAAATACTCGCCGGAATCTTCCCCGACAGCAAGTTGTGGGCCACATTGAGCTGCTCCAAGCTCACCATCCCTCCAATCGTCTCCGGTAGCGACCCCAGAAACTGGTTGAAGCTGACGTCGAACACCGTCAAGTTCTTCAGCATCCCAATCTCTGGCGGCAAACACGACCGGAATCCATTGTTCATCAGGATAATCTCGTTGAGGTTTGACATGTTCCCCAAACTAGCCGGAACGCAGCCGTGGAACTTGTTGTTGGCGAGGACGATGACGGAGACCGGCGAGTTCCCGAAGTTATCGGGCAGATCGAACCGGAACCGGTTGTGGTTGATGAAAATGGCGTCCAAGTCCTTGTCGAACAGCTCCTTCGGCACCGTCCCTTCGAACTCGTTGAACCTCAGATCCAAGAATTTCAGCTTCGGCAGCTGGAGAACCACCCGAGGGAACTTTCCGGCGAACCGATTGTTGCTCAAATCAAGCTCGAACAGCAGCTTCAGGCGGTTGAACTTGTGAGGAACAGTTCCACAGAACCTGTTGGAGTTGATGTGGAGCAATGCGAGATCCGTGAGCAGCCCGAGCTCCTCCGGCAAGTACCCGGCAATGTCGCCGTGGTTGAGGTCGATCCCCGCCACAGTCCGGATCGTTCTGTTGTCGAGCGCCTTGGTGCAGAAAACTCCAGTGTACTTGCAGACATTAGATCCGACCCAATTGCCCGTGATGTTGAACGGGTCGGAGAGAATGGCCTGCTTCAACGCCTGCAGCGCTATGTAAGCGTTCCGGAGCCGGTCGTTCTCGAAGACCAGCGAGGGGTCGACCGTCACATGCTCGCCGCGGTCACCGAACTCGTCGCGGTAGTAGAGGAGCTGGCGGTGCTTGATGTAGAGGGCTTCCTCGTCGGAGAGAGGTCCATGGCTGACAATGTGGCTGCTGCGGCGGTGCTCCTGAGCAGCAGCACCAGAGAAGAGTGATGACGTGGCAAGGAAAAGGGCAGTGAGGAGTGAGAGGTGGAAGAGGGTGGTGGTCTTCTTCTTCATCTCACACCAGACATCTGAATCTCCAAATGCCACTTTAAAATTTCTTTGAAAGATTAAGAACCCAAATAAGAAAGAGGAAATTAGAAAAAAAAAATTTAATTCTTAATTTCTCAGGTGAGATTGCAAATGGGGTTTTGGAGCACCGTGAGATCTGAGAGAGGAGGAAGAAATGGGAGGGGGAAGGAGGAACGGGGGGCAGATTTCTAGGGATTTTTTGAGAAGTGTGTTTGTTTGTAGTTTCTCTACTGCTAGTTAGATAGAGAGAATGAGAGATTACACATAAAAAAGACAGCTAAATCACAGCTCAAAGCCCACCAGAAACTCTCTCTCTTTCTTTCTCTCACTAACTTTCTTTCTTCCTCTCTCTCTCTCCCCCCATCAATTTGGCTCCTTTTTATTCTTTTTTCAAGAATCCCATTCCCATTATTCAACTCCCTATGCAAGCTAAAGTTTTGGAATAAAGTCATAGACTTCATTACAAAAATAGGAAGTGCTATCGCACATCATTTTTTACTTCTCACACATCTTTTGTTAATTTATGTTCGTTGATTTTCTTTGATTCATCCAATCTAACGGTCGAAAACTAAAAAGGTGTGTGGATATCATATCTCAAAAAATATTGCAAATATGTTCATTTGGGTGGTTTATTAACAATGTGGACAATAATTATTCTAATCTTACACAATTTGAAGTTGTTAGGGGGGAGTTGGTAGCTTGTAATGGCCATACCCAAAGTTTGATTTTGATTCTTATACTTTTAGGGAAGTTTCACTTTACTTATTATAATTCCGGTTGTTGCTTTTGAAACTGTGTATAGTTAAGTAACTTTGCATGTCTCTGTCGATTATCAATTGCTCTGAAATGAAAATTTCAACTTCTTTAATAGTATCAACGCCATATAGACTTACGTATGAAAAACAATGCTCGCATGTATTTTACATCACTTGATTAGTGTTATCCATAAGTTTTGTTGGATGTCACCACGTGAGGTTGTGACGAGAGTCGTGCCACGCTAGAAAGCTACATAACCTTGCAGAAGCTTATAGTGTGCAATTTAATGAAACAAATTAACATGTAAACAATACATGCGAGGTAAACAAGTGAAACTACATGGACTAAAATGAAACTTCATAAAATTGTAGGGACAAGAATCATAATTTGGCATCTGTATCACGAGATGTTAAAATTTTGGAGCAATTGGTGGGGGAAGAGATTTGAATGACTCCACTTATTATGCAGGTGGGGGTGGAGGTTGTTTTTGTCAAAACAGACGAACAGACGAGTCCCTTGGAGTAGATGAACTTCCAGTAACGTGTGTGAAATTACGTAACTATCAGCGTGCGCGTTTTCATTTCCGAGTTTCTCCTCATCACGGGGGGTTGGGGGCCACCGTTCAGGAGCGGGAACGGGCCGACACTGGTAAATTTGGAGGAGCGCACTGGATCCTTGTCTCTTAATCAAGCGGCCACAAAAGTTTGTAGTTGGCTATAAAATCAACAAATCACTTTCACAATTTTCATTTGTCATTTTTTTGTGTATATTCTTAGGGAAACGATTCAGTTAAACGAAGTGCAATTCTTTAAATTGTTGCGTAATTTTATTTGAATCATTAAATTATTGTTTTCCTTATAAAAGTGCAGATAGTACTAACGTCACAAAAACGGTACTTAAACTTTTATGTCAGATTGTAATAGTAAATACCACTTAATCAATGCTTTTTTTGTTGTTTTATGGATAACGATTTGGCGTTTTTACACTTAACTTGGTTAAGTAGAAAATAGCGGTTAACCATTGCTTTTCTTTTTCTGCTTTTCTATCATAACTATATTTTTACAACAATCTCATTTTTACCATCTGCATTTTGTTAGTTTTTTTTCATAATTCATATTGTAATGTCATAGTGGCATTATATTTTCGTCTTTGTTTTGATGAAGAAGTATTTTCCACGTGACCTCAAAAGAAAATAAATACATGTCTATATTAAATATGAACAAAAATAAATCGAAGATAGCGAAAAAAGTCTAAGAATAAAGTACATAATTAAAACAAATTAGTTATGACAACAAATTGTTTATTAGTGGTTTAAGTTCCAACTCTAATGCAACACTTGCCACGTTTCATTAAGGTAAAAATTGATGCAATATAAATGGTGGCAAGTAGTCCTCTACCATAAGGATAGAGATGAGTTTTGTCCTTACTCTACGACGTGAATTTAAACTTTCTCAACTCTTTAATCTAACAAATCTATCATTTGATAATAAAAAATAAAAAAAAATTAGTGGCCGGACTAATGTAATCCAAAGGAGTTATGACGCCAATTGAAAAAAAAAAAAAAAATATATATATATATACACACACACACGTTACTTTTAGTTTAGCAGCGAAGGGTATATCTGAAATTTACTTGAAATAAAGATAAATCCCATGCCATGCAAATGCAATGCATGAATGTCACGATGCTACGCGTCCTTATCACAGCTGATGCTGATGCACGATCACCAATGATGGTTAAAAACCATCAGTGATGTTCTTCCGATTCGCCCTCTCCAGCACGTAGGTGGGGCCCATGACAGAGGATTAAAAAAATTCCAGATAGCGACACATTCACCACGCCCAAGGCAACTGTGTGTTCCTGGGGGCCACGCGTCACGTCTTGCCCGGCTGGATCGTCGGCGTTGATAAGAGTCCCACGTTCGTGTGGTGCACCGCGTCCATGTACGCGTCTACGCCCACCGCAAAAGCGCTCCAGTTGGGAACTGGGTGAAAAGACCATACTGCACCTCACACATTTTTTTCCAAAATGCAACCCAAGCAAAAAGGCCCAACTACCTTTTTGAACGCGTTTTTTCCCCTCCGCCAAATGGACCCGGCGCTTATTTATTTTTTGGCACCGCCGTGTTTAGCGTTTTTAAAATTTTTAGTTTTTAGTTTTTTTTTTTTATTTTTTGCTTTTGTTCATGATTTTAAAAACCATTTTTTACTATATAACGGTGTACACGTTAAGAGCTATATTTTTCTTTAATTCTAACTGGCCACACATTCAGCGTTTCATATCAAGCGGCCATGCTTCTAATTTATTATGTTAATCTGGTACCAAAACATAAAAAGTTTTTTTTTTTTTCTCAGATTTTTTTATTTGGCCAGAAATAAATTGAACTTTTTGATGCTTATTTTTAAGGTTGAGTAATTTCAGCTGCGGTTGTGAAATAATTGTGTGAACATGAGATCTGTGATGGGTATTTGATGATTGGTTTTTGGAGCAGGTAGGGTTCCACTTTGTCTCAAAATGTTGTGCATATCATATAATTTAGGAGGTGTATTCAATTGAGAATTAGAGAGACTTTAATACATTTATAAATCCATGAATTTTTATGAAGTTTCATTGATTTGTAGAGATTCCATATAAAATTTTGATTCAATTCCTTCGAAATCTCATAGGAAGGTGTGAGATTTGTGGATACTTAAAATACACTACGAAATCTCTTCAATTCCCTTTAATTCCTCAGCTTTGTCAAATTCTTTAAAATCAAATTCTAATTGAATATACCTGGAATGTTATAAACTTCTTTAAAATCCTAATTGAATACATCCGGATTTCTAAGGATTTTAATAAACTATCTTAAAATTCTAATTGAATACACCTTGAATTTCAGAGAATCACATAAAATCCTGATTGAATACCCCTAAATTCATTAAAAGAATGAAAATCTCTCAAAATCTCAATTGAATACACCCCCTTAATTTGTCCTAAGATTTCACTCAAAAAAAAAAAAAATTTGTTCTAAGATTAAATTGTAGCGGCAGCAACACCGATCCAGTCCAGGGCAATATTTGGTGAATTAATTTACTAACTCATTTGTATTAATCTAGGGTTTAAACAAACAAACAAATTAATTATTTTATACAAGAACAATTCAAAATTGGACCTTTTCTTTTCAACTATTTGTTTTAGATCTCATGTGATGGGATTGCACATTTGTTTGCATCGTCAACCCGATCATACTTTGTTTGTTGTTTCATTCTTTAGGGTTTGAAGCATTTTGTCAACCATTTTAACTTAGCAAAGTATAAAGTTTTCGCTAATCATATTATATGAACGATACAAGTTTAATATTCAACCCTAAACTTCACACACTCTAGCGAAAACGTTATTTTTCACCGTCATCGTTGTCATCTTCGTCGTCCTCATATTTTTTTAATAACCTAAACACCATAATCTTCGTTTGGCTTAATTAATTACTAACAAATTGTTATTCATCCACTTAAATTAAATGATTTTGCATAATTGTCAACCAATTAAGCAGTCAGTTTGAAGCTGCCTTCAATCAAACAACCTGTCGTCCCAAATGAGTGGTCAAGATTAAACAAATATTCACATGAATTCCTAAGCAAATATGATGCCAATATGTAATAATGCGTATGAATGAAAGCCTGTTAATATGTATTTCTGCATAGGGCCAAATTAATCAATTGGTGTGAATGTAAAGCATGTTATATTTTTCTCTCAACAAAAAACAAGCATTTTATTTTATTTAATTATGTTCGGCCAACAATTCTCGTATAATATGACTCACCATTAATAAGGTTTGAGCTTTGAATTTGAATGTGTATGGAATACTAGTCACTTTTGGTACCATTTTACGTGTTGTAATATGCGATAATATTGATATGCTTTACTTTTATAATACATTAATAAATTAAATTTATATATTATAATTTGAATAAAGTAGTAACACTATGTGACGGTGTTCAAATGTATTATAATTTGAATGAAGCAATAACACTTTGTAACGGTATTCCAAGTACACTGAAAAATAATTTGTTGGAGTTTCATGTCTGTAATACCCTGAAATTTTTTTTTATAAATATGTGATTATGTGGAAATTTTTTTTTTCTTCAGAAAGTGGAATGACTAAAATGTCCCTCATTGACTAAATGTAATTATACGAGGACGTATTTTAACCTCATATATTTTATCATATTTCTTGGCATATTTGGATATAGCTCGATCTCACGAACGCGTAGGCGTAAACCGTTTGTAAAACAGAGTTATAACGAATGAGATATGAACGAGCAAAGTTAGGGGTGAAATGGTCATTTGACCATAATCTAGATTTCTCCATAAATTGTGAGGTGCCACATGTATGGCAGTGGTTGGGAGAGAAATGGGCATTGCCCAATCAGAAAACGGGGAAATGGGGAAAGGAGAGAACAAGGAAAGGAGGGGGAAAGAACCGGGTCACCCTCAACCTATGTGACCCGACCGGTATGAACAAACCTCTAATGTCGATTTTGGTGTTTTCCTGATGAGTTGGGCGATGCTACCACTACCAATCCACTCCTCGTCGTCCCAGCTTCCATTTCCACCCAATTTGGACTACTGTGAT